TGCCAGTTGAATCGTTTTACGTACGCGACCCTCGTCGACACACTCCCAATCTTTACAACGTTGTTGACGAGAGACTTGTGGACGATAAATCCGACACCTCCTTGGGACAGATGGTCGCCCTCCCGGTGATAGAACAAGTTGCCGGATTCGAGAATCACCGTGTCCTCCCCCCTCTCTTCGGACCTCGGATAATCCTATAATACTCCAGCACAACTTGTCTATCTCTTCTTCCAGCTCCATGATCTTCTCGTCAGTCCTCAGGGTGCGTGCGTTGTACGTTGCCAGGTCGAATCGTCTTAGGTGGTAACCAAACCTCCACCGGAGAATCTTAGCACCCCCGCCGTTACCATGGTCGCCACCGTAGCTAGGAATAGCGGGGTGCCGGGGACTGGGGACCGTTTATTTGTGTCGTCGCTTATGTGTGTCGCGTATATTGCCGTAGTTACCACGCTTAGTGAGCGGGTTGGCAACCGCAGTTTTATTTTGTTGTACAATTACTGTTAAGTATCAGGAAGGTGCTACTGCCCATCTCCTGCCTAGAGGCGGCGTAAGGCGTGGGCGACGTGGGCCACCGCCTACGGCCTCGCGCCCTGGAGGTTTATGCATTACTTAAAACCGTAAAGGCGTCGAAAAAATTTCATTGTCATGAATCGATATTATTGATATAACTAAATATGTTTTTATTCAGTCTAGCAACAATAGTTTGCGTTGCTATTGCGGTGAATCCCCGCTGCGGGGCGACCAGTATATATACCGTAATCTATGGGGGCGACAGTCTGAGGATTCCCCGTTGTGTTTGTTAGACATAGAATACTGAATTTTTTTAATCGTGGGCGCGTGGCAATCGAGTAGAGTGCGGTACAGCAGTCCACGTGGTTGCTGTACGTATATGTTCGCGCTATACGCACATGAGTAGATAAACGGAACAGACAAAACTCTTCTTAAGAACTTGCAAAATTGTTACTTATTTTGGTAGGGTTGTCACTATAGGTGAAGACGAATTAAAGCTAAGCAAAAACGTACATTTTGTGACTGGATTAAAGAATATCAACAAACTTGTTTCGAAAAATGTTTGGTAACTAACGGTTTACTGAAAAAAAAAACTGTTATGATCTGTCAAAAGACTTTAAAAATAAAAGAGTAGCCAAAAAGAAAAAGATGTTGGATTAACCTATACAGTCTCCTAAAAGCCGGTATTAAACAGATTTTTCAACACCATGATTGTTCAATTATAACAAATATGGATTTGAGTTATGGCTTTAAGCCTACATTATGAAAATTTTGGTTTCCACAAGTAAAAAAATATTCCAAACCATCTAAGATTAAAATAACTGTCAAGATTTACACACAACCCTGTGAGTGAGTGAAAGCAGTGACTTTCAACCTTACTAATTATGTGAAGAATTACAATTAATGATTCCTTATTTACCTAACTTCGTAACAGATGTGAAACAGCTTCTCCAATAAGTTACAGAAAATAATTTAAAAAAATATACCCAAACATTTACATCGTCATTTAACAATACCGATCAGTACAGCCTCCGCTGAAGGAAGCTTCTTAAAATTAGTACTGATTAAAAATTATCTCAGGAATGCAATGTCACAGAAAATACTTTCAGCGTTGAAAGTTTTATCTATCGAGGCATCCAAGCTGGATTATGAGGCTATAATTAATTCAGCAGGATAAAAAGCAGAATATCTTTTTCTTTATTTTTCTTTGAAATTGTTTGGTGTTGGTACTTAATGGTTTTGTAAAAATAAAAATTTCATAATGTCAAGTGTTTTGTTTTCCATTTTATATAATCCTTCTTCTGGCGCGGGCAGAGGGCCTCGCAAAATGTATCTTGCCCACATGAAATTTAGGTCTTGCGCCGCCACTGCCTGCCTGTTTCCCTCTGTCGCCTTTTACGACACCCACGAGAAGATATGGGGTGGTGGATATTCTTAACTGCCATAACCGATACATGATGGTATACTATTTCGTATACGTTAGACGAAAAATACTCAGGACCGCAATGGGGAACAGCGTCAAAGGTGCAATGTCAATTCGCATGCAGAGCCTGACGACTAAGTCAAATCCTCCCTATAACGAGAATGGCCCGTGGCTTAGAGACAGATGAAGAAGAAGACCAAGCTTTATTCAGTTTACTCTCTTTGTTAATAAACTAGCTTTTTCCTACGGCTTCACCCGCGCAGAGGTCGATCGGTTTGAAATGGTAAATTTTTTGAATATATTGGGACGCGGGGAATCAAAACTCACTCTCCTTTAGCTGCTTCAGTCAGAATAGGGGTCTTTGTAATTTTTCTCCCCAGCTCTGTAATGCGCAACTTGGTACCGCTGCATAAACTCTGTTCATAAAGGTTACGCAACAGCAGAACTGGGACGGAAACTTTTAACTCCAGCTTATGCAAGGGCCCATTCGTTAGAGCCGTTCAAATTAGGAAACGACGACCTCACATTACTGTTAATTAGTCCTAATTAAATATGGGGAGCAATAAGTTCGTCTTCTGATGTTACGAATGGCAAAATTAAATTATTACGTCAGATTTAATTTTTCAAACCTGTAAATAGGCACAGTGGTGACGCCTTGAACATGCGTTCAATTCACTCACCGGTATGCATTTCTAAATAAATAACAGATTTAACTAAAGTTGCCTGCGAGCAAAACGACAACTTCACCCAGCAGGGCAGGTTGCTGCAGATATTCTGTAGGCTGTGGTTTAAAGTTTCTACCACGCGCTTGTGCGAGTTCGTGCACTCATATCACATGATCGATTTTCAATATTGCAAGAGGGTACCGCGGGCGCGGTGCCCGGTCTTGCACTTTGACGTTTATTCGCTTGCCAAGCAATAGCAATCCTTGTTATACCAGCAGTAATTTCATCACGAATAATTGATACGTACTCTCCGGTGATTCAACAAAGAAGAACATCCCCGCCCCCAGCGCCTATAATAAACATGTCTGTTTAAAGCTTCAAAGCTACGCAAATACACACGAATATTTAATCAAATACGGGGAGGAAGGAATTAAGTCATCCAATTCCTGTTCCCCCTCTCCGAAACACGCCTGTGCTCGATGCTAGTAAGTTTCGATATTTGTGTCAGCAATAAACCTCTTTGCATGCCTTCCGCATTTGGTAATATTAGTTACAATTTGGATAAAATGTTCTTGTAACTAAACTTCGAAATTAAAAAAATATAATAACTCATACAATTACCTACTAACTATAACGATAAAATAAAATATATTATATTAGTAATTTCTTTTGAAGTCGGTATACTACAAATTGTTTGATTGCATTGGTTTTGTGCGGTGTGATTAGCGATGCGAACAGGCAGGTGGAGTCCTCGGCTGGGCGGAAGGCCATCGCGGACATTTCCCAGAGCGTGGAATGCCTGTTCCCATCGGATCGGTAATGATCGCCCTAAATCGCGCGCCGCTTTATCGATACCGCCAATAAATACGCTGAAGATTTGCATTAAAACATTTTCGCCCGTTCCATATTTTTTTCGTTTTCTTTGTTTTTACGAATTATGAGTTATATGATATAGTCTTTTGAATTTAAATAAATATAAAAAGTCTTAGAGCTTAACAATGCGTGATCGAAGAGTTAGGGTTGCGGGCTTGTTATATTGAAATATCAGACTATATTATTAATGATAATAATGATACGAATTAAATTTAAATCAAAACTTAAACAGCACCCATTAATCCTCAGCTGTGATGATCCTAGTCCGAGTGAATACTTCGTCATTGTCATAAATTTATTGTACTAAACGATTTTTAATACGTCTGCAAAATTTAAGATTATCTGGACGTGGATGTGTTGGTGAAAACTGAATAATAAAATTCCATTACATTTAATACATATATAGATACCTACCTACAGGTCAAGCTAATATAAAGCGTGTAAAAATAATGGTGATTTTATTACATAATTATACTACATTAATGCATTTTATTATTGATATTTTTGCACTACCAAAATGTTCTATTTTTAAGATTTTTTTAAATTATTTTTTTAGTAAAACATTACCATTTATTGTTTTTTTAAAACTTTACACCCACACTTAGATTACCTCCTATATTGTGGAGGCAGTTTACATACCTAAATTGCACAAACTAAATTTAATTTACGGAACAAATAATTTTAGGCTATATAAACTAGGCCGTACGGGATTCGAAACCGTGGCCCTCAGCGCCGCTACTCGCTGCTTGCGTGCCACTGCGCCATGGAGCCGACAAAGTTGGTAAATAATACCAAATAAATGATAAAAATAAGGCGAAAATAAGCCATTTGACAACATTTTAATGACTTATTGTGCGTGTGTGTCAAGCACAGACAGCACAAATGATATTAATATTGTTAACCTAAAACTTTTTAACTATTATCAACGAGTGCTTGAAGTTTGGTACACCACGTGTTGTAATTAGTGATGAATCCGAAGGTGGTAAAATGTACCGTCAAGCCTATTTACTCTAGTCTTGCGTACACCAAGTACACATTGTAATGGGACGGAAAGATAGACGCAAGCAAATTATTATACTACTGTTACTGTACACATGACGAACGACGCGAACCCAGTGTTACTTTTAACTTTACTGCTCTGCTACTGCTGCCAATGGATACCTATCACCACATTCTACATAATACATACTTTGGGTGTTAGAGTACTCATCACCGTATTTCAGGTGTTAACTGTAAAGTCAAAGAGATGGGTTTATATAAAAAACAATGATCATCATTACAGCTCTTCACAAGTCCACTGCTGAACATAGACCACCTCTAAAGAATGCCACAAAGCACGGTCCTGAGCCACCTGCATCCATCGACTTCCTGCATGTCTTACTAGGTCGTCACTCCATCTAGTGTGAGACGACCTGACCTTATATGAATAAGGGCATTTAATTGTTTGTTTTACGATATTGTGATTCCATGTTCAAAGCTACGGCTGCCAAGAGGACATCAAATAAAAGTACTTCACTAATTCTTAACAGTCTGTATTACAGAGCGAGTATCGGTTTGCTGGCGGGGGATATCCGCGCGTGACCACTAGCAGCGGTAGCAGTAGCGGAGGACTGTGTTCCGCAGCGCTGGTGGTGGGCGCACTGCTGGCGGCGGTGGCGGTGCTCGCAGTCGCCGGCCTTGCCTTCTACATGGGTGCTCTGAGGCCTGACAATGGCGAACGTACGTTATTTTTTTATATCTCTATATCGTTACTAGTTTGTGGAAAGGGCGAATAAGCCATTTTTCTATGATTTTCTTTTTCGTTCATTCATTTAGTTCATTTACCTGAGTCATTTTTAATTGATTTGAAGTAACGGCAAACAGAAAATAAAACAAATGTGTAACGGCGAATATCACCTATTAGTTTCGAAGAAAGGCCTGATATTCCATATTCACCCTTATTACAATTTACTAATTTAATCATCACACTGTTTTGTTATGCAAAACGGTGAATAATATATATTCGCCCTTTCTACAAAACAGTGACGATATATAAAAATCAATTGCTATCCGTTAGTCTGGCTAAAACTCGAAATTTATTGTATATTTAAGTTAAATGGATAGTTTCAAGTGGATAGTTTAGTTTGGATATTGGATAGTTTAGATTCAATTGAACCCGGTAGGTGGAGCTGTTGTTGAGATCCAGAAATCACCCGCGCGAAGCCGGGGCGAATCGCTAGTATGATAAAACAAAAAGTTTGCTGTGTTACATTGTTTTTAAAAGTTCCATTACGATATTTTGTGGAACATACCTCTAATGAACGGCACACACGGTCAATTCAACTGATCATCTCGATTATTATAAATATATCAATATCGGAGTTTTAATAAGTTTATTTATCGATATATCGAAAATCCAATATTGTAAAGAATATCAACAGTTTTAGTTTGAACTGATCAGTTGAACTGACAGTGTGTGGCGTCCATTAGAGGTATGTTCCAGAAAATATCGTAATGGAACTATTCAAAATAATGTAACATATAAGTTTATTTATCGATAAATAAACTTATATATAAAACTGCGATATCGACATATTTATAATGATCGATATATCGAAAATGCAATATTTTTAAAAAAATATCAAGAGTTTTAGTTTGAGCTGATCAGTTGGAATGATCAGTTGAACTAACCGTGTGTGGCGTCCATAATAGAGAAACAAAATGTTTTTTTATTATATGTTTGAATACTTTTTCTGCTTTGGTTTTTATAATATTTGAAATCACTAACTTCAAGTCACATACATGCCCTAACATTATTAGCACTTATAACTTTTTTAATTTTAAAACTTCATTTATTTTCAGCTATAATGACATTTGAGGGTAATTTTCGTGTGATGCGAGGCGATGTGTATGGTGGAGTTCCCGGCAGTCCTGCATGGAATGAGCGCGCGCGAAGGTATAGCGTAGCGTTGAGGCAAGCGTTTAACGCACCTTCGCCACTTCGGCAGGCTTTTGTTGGAGCCATCGTCACTGGTTTCGGTGATCGCAAGCTAGATGTTCATTTCAAATTATATTTGGACAGGAGAAAAATTCCAAGGTAAAATTTTAAATAGAATGCTATAAAAAAGTTTCTATATATAGAAGTTTATACAGGATGGCGCTACTTTAAACACAATAAATATTTAGCGTTTCATTATCGTACATAAAAATCAATAAAATACATTCAGTAGTTTATCCACAGGATATTTATTTCGTTTCAGTAGTTCTGCACATGATGCATATAAGTACACCATTTTTTACTATGTCGATAGGGGGTCATTAAACTGTGTCTTAAAATAAAGAAAGCAACGTTGCCATTTTGACATTCTGTCCTGACTTCCGTATATAATTTCTAACTTGCTTGCTTGTTGCTCATTAAATTTAGACTTTAAAGCGCAATTTTTTATTACATATATATTTATTACATATATACATATTACATAAATTTGACTTTTTTAATTACGGTATTAAACATACCTAAATCATTATAAATATTTAATCGAACTAGTAATGACATAATGACAACGGTACAAAAGGTAGTAGTGAGAGCCACACGCCTATTAGTAAAATTTGAAATACTTAATAGCTATGTAATTCATATAAAGTAAACTAAATCAAAGTTAAAGTCAGTACACGCCTTTATAGCTATGTTAAATTTACGGCAAAAAGCCCTTGATATAATAATTATTTTTAATAATATCATTTTAATCCATTTTATTTTTTCAGTACTGTATCTAATATAGAAGAATCACTTAAGAATGTTTTAGTCCAAGATTTGTTATCCAAGCAGCCTGCATTTGGACAAATTAAAATAGATATCTCTAGCATAGCAATTAAAAGAGACTTAGAACATACATATCATTCGGAATCATATGTAAAAGAAGCGTTAAATGAAAGTATGGCAAGTTATCAACCTAAACAAACATCACACCAAAGTGGAAACGATAAAATTCTACAGAGTAGGATTGGCGTTGTTCGCAAAACTACCGTAAAACCTAATCAATCCACTAAGAAAAGAGATCCAGACGAGCCTGATATTGATACTGAAAACATTCCAGTTGTTCAAGGTTCTTTTCAAATTACTAAGACAGAAGCTGACATAACGGAAAATAAACACAGCAATCTTCCAACAAGACGTGATGATAAAATAAATCAAAGGCCTCCAAGTATAAAGTCAAGTACTACAACAAAAGCACCAGGCACAAAAATAACAACAACGCGGCTACCAAGCAGCAAAAGTACCTTCGCTACTTCAACTACGCCTAAACTTAAACCATTTACAATTATGTCAAATTTAGGGATAAGAACAAAAACCAGTTCAACCCATAAACCAGAAACAATAGTAACAAGAAAAGCAGTGTCAACAACACAATCAACAATAACTTCAACGGCACTATCGACTACCTCCGTCCAAAGTACTACGGCCAACGTTTCACAATTATTACTCGATCTACTTACAAACGACAATCATAATAAAGATTTACCAAAAATTGACACATTGTTTACAGTACCCCATGTAATAGATACTGAACCTTGGCGTCCTATAACAAGGCCCTACTATGAAACAACAACAATTAAAAATACACCTGTAGTTGTCGATACAGTTAATGAAAAAAGTGCAAAAGACAGAATTGGAGTTGCAGAAGTCGTCGAAGATATATCAATACTAGAAAGTATTTTAAATCCAATACCCCCAGTACATTACAGTGACAAATCAACGCGTAAGCCAACTGGTCTTTATAATATGGATCCTAATTTATCAGCAGATATTTATGTTCCCAGTCCTGTCTATACCAGTTTCACTCTTCCTACGTATGCGCCACCATTGAAAGATATGGAAACTTTAGGATCTGTGTATCCAAAACCTTTTCCCTTACCCGTTGATAAAATTAGTTCTGCAAAACAAGATATTAAAGAAAGTGTTTTAGATGATGATGATTTTGATGATGGTAAACCAATAATGCGGCCTCCTAAAGATAAAACAACGTCTACAATCATAAACGTGTTACAATCAAGTCAGCTAGATAACCTAACAGAAGAAGTATCTATTGACGGCATGTCAATATTAAAGAAACATAACATAACGGCAACAACTTTTACAACAACGTTAACTCCTGGAGCAAACACCACAAGCTTCACTATGCCTACAACTTCTAGTACAATGACAACCACTATTACTACTACAAAGGAAACACCAAGTACTTCCAAGAAGAAAACAGATGCAAATGTTATAAAGGAAAATTCAACTCGACGTCCTAACGATAAAGTATCCATTATTCCAACGACAGATATTCCATACCATACTTGGGAATTAGTTAATACCTCGACAAACGATAATGAAACTTTTTATAAACATTCACCAGAAAAGTATTACAACGATACTTTACAAGCAATTATTACAAAGAATGATGCTACTTTTCCTAGTACAACGCCTAGATTTCCCAGTAAGATTTCAATATTAAGAAACTTAACAGACCTAATTAAAAAATATACGAGTACAAAAAAACCGCTACTCACAAACTTTGACAAGATAAATAATGATGATGACAACGATGAGCATATAGAAATGACAGGATCTGTAGAAGTAATACCAGAAGAAGAGCTTGAAAGTACTACAGCCAGAGTAATAACGTTAATGCCTGTAAAATCAAACCTCGGTGTAAATAGCCGTTAAGGCCGAGACCGAAGATAAAAAACGAAACTCAAATGGAGAAAGAAAACTTACGAAGTTTCTTTAATAGTGCAGTTCAGTCTCAAATATTAATGGAAGAAATCAACTTAGAAAACAAATTACCGACACATAACCGCACAAAATTTAATGAAGATAATCAAGAAATGGTGACAGCTCCGGATAATCATGGATATGAAACACAAAATCACGAAATAATAGCAAGTATGCCTCAGAATGTGGAAATGACTGATGCGCTGTATAATATTACAACCAACAGTAGATTTCCTAAGTCTAGTAGTAATCTTAAAACTTATAATCAAAAGAATGAAAATTTGTCTTCAGAAATGAGCAGTAATGACAAAACTATTCCGGAAGGCACGTACAGAGTATCTTACCACGTCACTGGAAGTGTAAGCAGTAAACAAGCAAATAGAACTCATAATCTTCCAGCTTATGAATTAGCATTAGAACCTGATGTGGTTTTAGAGATTCCATTTAATCAAACAAATACTCTCACTATTGATAAATTGAAGCAACTAGCAAGTCTCGCTACCATTACAGAATACAGCAACAGCAGTTTATTTCGTCCTTCTGGAGGTGTAATATCAACGAAAGCCATACCATCGAGTTATACGCTCAATCATGCAGGATTTAAGATATTGACAAAAACTTACCATAAAACTCAACCCTCTAAGCAAGAAGAGAATAGTCTTAACAAATCGGACAAAACTCCTAAGCCATACCCAACGAAACCACAAAAGGAAAAAGAAGAAGTTCAAGAAGCAGTTAAAGAAGGTAAATTTTATTGTTTAGATATAAATCAAATATTTACTTGGTGTAGAAGTAATAAATTCACTTCTTTTAGAAGATTGCAATAATGCGACGTCCTTCCGCTGTTTAACTGGCCTGTGTTTACCTATTACTTCGAGATGTAATCGCCTAATGGATTGCCCGGGAGGAGAAGATGAACGTGCCTGTTCCTGCGCTGATTACTTAAGAGCAGAATTCTCTCAAACAAAAATTTGTGACGGTGTTGTAGACTGTTGGGACTATTCTGATGAAAACAAATGCGGTATAATAACATTTCTCTTATTTTGAATGTAAGTAATTAAGTCAATAGTGGCACAAAATAATTTACAATGTAATGCTTAATTTTAGAATGGTGTAATGAAGGTCAATATGTCTGTTCGAATGCACGACAATGCATAGACATGGCCCGAGTCTGTGATGGAACCCCAGATTGTCCTTTTGGTGACGATGAAAAAACTTGTGTTGCTCTGTCTGATGATATTGAAGATAATGAAGTCATACCTTACAATGAAGAAGGTAAGGATAAGTATTTTTATAATATGCGTATATTTAAGAATATTAAAATTAATGAATAAGACATTTTCTCTTGAGATTTTGATATTTGATAATTTAACATATTTTCAGGTTTTGTTATGGTGCGAAAGCGTGGTGAATGGGGACGCTTATGTGTAGAAAGTTTTGCAGACGTAGTAGCTGAGGCTCACAGTTCTCTGAAATTACCTGACCTTGGTAGGGCTGTTTGTAGGGCAATGACTTTTAGGTAAGATTTTTTTCATAAAATACGGGTATATAGAAAAATAAAAAATGTTGTATCGTTCTTTTATAGACGATTATACGAAGGATATATAAGATTCATATACGAAAATTTTTTTCCTGTGTCACACATTTAGCATTAGTATCTATATCATCTTTGAGAGACATCAGAACCAAGAATTTGTATATGTGTGCATAAAGGCTCCTGCTGGAATTGATTCAGTAGCTAAATACTCAGACTATTGATCAGAATATCTGTCAAGCATTCATCAAGGTATCAAGAGTTAGTAGAGTTCACAAAAAAAACATGTTTTTCATCCAATAAAATAATTGACACTAATTTCAGTGAATCGAGATGGGCACGCGAGGCCCGAGAGGGAAGGCGAGTGAGCTCCGCGGGCTACTGGGAGGTGTGGCATAACACGGCGGCGCGCGCGGCCGACACCCGCCTGACTTTCCGACGCTCCCAGTGCGCGCGACGCAGAGCGTTACGCGTGCGATGCAAGGACCTCGAATGCGGAGTTCGTCCCCACGCCGATGCTCAGCAACCTAGGTGATTTTAGTACACAAATTATCCTGTTCGTGTTAGAAATTAGTGCGTGCATCGTATTATTCATTAAAAGAAATAGTTTCCAATGATAGTCTTAAACTTGGTAGAAGGTAAAGACGGTTAAGAGTCAATATATATTCCAAGGGCTGTGGCAATGTCGGTTACATGTTAAAACTCGTCATTACCAAGATATAGCGAGGCTGACATTTATAACATTTAAAAACAGCCAAAATCGGTCTGTTTAAGTTTTGTGTAGGTAAATTGCAAGTTTTATATTATAACAATAAAGTGACAAACATCTAACAGTCTACGTGATAGTAAATGCTTTCTGCACTGTATAGACATCTGAAACCAACTTGAAACAAATAAGGCTACAAATGCTTACCTCTGATGACTAAAGTCGAATGTCTCCTAATTAGTTATTATACTGATTCTCTGTGCCATTCAGACCACAACAGTAGGCACACTGCTGCTGTAAGACGGAAATAATAGAAACGGCAGAAATAGTTAAATAGCACCCAGACATAATCTTTTTCAGGTTTTTTTAGATTTAGCATTGGGCTACATAACCAAAAACAGCAATAGTTGATGGTAGCCTAATAATGCTTAATATTGAAAGTATCGGCAGCATATTTGAAGATGATGCGGTGACCAGGATTAAGAAAGGAATGCTTCGGTGGTTTGGTCATGTGGAAAGAATGAATGAGGAAAGAGTGACAAAGCAAATTTATGTTGCATAAGTGAACGGTAGAATCGGAAAGGAACGTGCTAGCTGAAAGTTTATCGACCAAATTAGCGATATATAGAAAACGGGCTAAATTAGGAGTATCCTTAACCGATGAACATGTATGCGTAGGTATATGGATGTGGAGGAGGCGAGAGAGGTGTGTAAGGATCATCCCAAATGGAAGTCTGTAGTCTCTGCCTATCCCTCTGGGTGACAGACGTGAGTGTTTATGTATGTATATGTTATTTATGCTTCTTATTTAATGAGATAGTGTCAGAATTTAGTATTACTTGAACTGGTACTGTGAACGCTTGTGCTGTGAATGCTTCCACATTTAGTGCACCATTATCATTACAACTTTGTAGTGTACTGCTGAACATAGGCCTCCTCAAAAAGTACCACAAGACGGTCCTGAGCCACATGCATGTATAGGTTTCCTGCATGTCTCACTTGATCTTGACTCCATCTAGAGGCGGCTAACTTACCTACATTCGGCTTACCAGTAAGAGCTAGTTACTTGAAAATCTTTCTTCTCCATCGATTTTTCAAGCTGTATAGCCGACTCTAATGTCTGGTATATTGTGAGAGGCAGACGTCACATTGGTAAAGCAAGCGGCTGATACCAATGGAAATGTTTGTGCTGGTAAACTGAGACGGAGTGGTGTCGGTACGTGGCGGTGTGTTGGGTAGGGATGTAACTGACGAGCGCGTGCGGTGGGGCAGGGTAGTGGGCGGCGGCGGCGCGGCGGCGGGCGCGTGGCCGTGGCAGGCTGCGCTCTACCGCGACGGCGACTTCCAGTGCGGCGCCACGCTCATAGCCGCACAGTGGCTGCTCTCCGCTAGCCACTGCTTCTATCAGTGAGTACCTTCCTCATATTTTGTAGTTCTTTGACGTTTGAGTCACCGAATGAGTAAATTGATAAGCTTCTCTAATTACTTCATCATCATCATCATTACAGCTTATCATTGTCAACAGCTGAACATAGACCTCATCAAAGATTGCCTCATAAGGGCAACAGTTTTACAGCGACAGTAGCCTAATGGCAGGGTGCGGACCGCGAACTCAAAAAGGTCGTGGGTACGAATCCGCCATTCGACTACTGGCATGATCCACTCTTAACACAAGCAATTTAAGCTTACCACGAGTGGTTAAGGGGAATATTAGTAATGTTTATAGCATTGTTAATATTCTTTTTTTTTAAATGGCCATGGTTAACGAGCTTGGCAAGCGGGTTGACAACCGCAGTTCTTCTTATTTTTTAAGTTTTTATTACGAAGACGCTGCTATCCATTAGCAGATTTATTTCCGTGTCGCCTTTTACGGGACAATAATAAATAATAAAAATAATAAACGGCGAAAAGATATTGTGGTTAAGCCTTCTGGTACCAAAACAGTTTTTGCTAGTAGGCAATTTAGCTCATGTTCTGCATTCCTATACAATAAAATAAATAGAGAATTGAACATATACAACAAAACGTACAGGGAGTGTAAAAACCTGATACTTAAGTGGGTGCAGTCGAAAACTTATGAAGAAACCGAATTTCTGCTGTACCGCATTTCATAATTCACTTCTATGTACAATATAATTTAACAAAATGATTTTTCATAAACACACACACACACACACACACACACACACACACTCACACATGCGCGCGCGCTCGTACGCACGCATGCACACATACACACTTTTGTAATTTTTGTAAATTTTGGTTGTTAAAGTCGAGTAATTTGTTTTTGTTATTTTTGGTTTTTTAAATTAAAAAATGTATGTTTAGATAAGGAAGAGCGGGATTTCCAAACACAGGCATTACTTGCTTAAATGGAGATCCCAGTCAACTATGTCATTCATTTAATTTTTGTGAAGAAAAATAAATTATGTTATGTTATTATTATGTTACAATATGGGTGATGGAAATTTTTACACCGCGACTTAAGTACTTACTAACGGTAACAATAATAAAAATTTAAACTAACCTAAGTTATATTGCCACAAAAATGATACACATTATTTATCCTAAAATATAGAAAAAAATCTTTAACTATTTAATAATACCACCACCTACTACTATCACACATTCATACATTTCTTTATTAGGTTTGTCCTAAAAAACTAAATGAATTATTTTACCTGGTGGTGGCGACGTATGAGAATTAATCGATATTCGAATATACTGCCATCTTATGCACATTACACACAAACGAGACGCCTGATACTGCGGTCGTCGATGTGCCTCCATGAAAATTTAAGCCTCTACAACCGGCACTTACTTATAGTTGCCGACACGAGTGGTGAGCACAGATAAACTGTGGTGGGAGGTAGGTACACTGTCGGGCAAAATTATTGGATACCTTTATTATTTCAATTCGTAATTTAATATTTTCGGCGACTTTTATGAAAAAGTTTACTCGAACACATGAACTTTTATGATACAGTAATGTTACATTTATGTCCGTAATTTTATTATCTACTATAAAGTATTTAATGTATACCTGTGGTTAGAATTGATTATTTTATTAGAAGAAGGAAGAGGTGATATGCCTTCCATAAAATCTGGTGTTGCGGTGCCACGCAGTCTGATACGTCTATGATGTTTTTCGCAGTACCTAATTTTTTCATGTAACTAAACACTGAATAGAAAATTTGTCGGGATTGTCTATTTAACACCGAATTCTTCCTTCTCTGCACATTTAGACCAAAATCTGAACACTCAAACTATAACAACAAAAATAATTAAAAACAAGAAATAACAAAAACAATTAATAACAAGGAATACACAAACAACAATTAACAACGAGCTGACAAAAACAATTAACGAACATAAACTTATTAAAAAAAGTTATCATTAAAATTATTGCTCTGAAGTGTACGGAAGCCGAATGAAACGTTCGAAACCAACAGACGACGAGAATCGACTAATGAACCAATCACGTTGAACGTCAGCGTGGTCAACGTCGTATCGACCAATAAAAAGTGTGCTCACGACTTATGTCGGCAGTTTTACTTAACTTTTAAGTTTTACACTTGAGCAATCTGCGATTTTCTCTACAAATGTTGGTTCCTTCCGCGATCTAATCTTTTGCTTTGCTGCCGACACTTAAACAGAAAAAATAACATACAAAAATAAATATGTTATTCAGAGCTACAGAAGCGCACTGGGTGGCACGTCTGGGCGCATTACGTCGGGGGGCGTGGCCGCGGGGGCCGTGGGAGCGCGTAGCCCGCGTCCGCCAGCTGGTGTTGCACCCGCGCTACGCAGCGCGTGGCTTCCGCAACGACATCGCGCTGCTACGTGTAGAGCCGCTCCAGCTTCACGCGCGGCTTCGGCCCGCCTGCCTGCCGCCACCCCGCTCGCCGCCGCCCGCCGGACGGCACTGCACCGTGGTCGGCTGGGGCCAGCTTTACGAGCACGAGCGTGTCTTTCGTAAGTATAAAATTATATTAGAATGATAGAAAAGTGTGAGCCCATCGCATTACACACACACAAATGTTTATAATTTGTTAATAGCTGAAATACTGCGCCATCTTTCCGATCAGCATAGCTATGGACTAGCGTCTTGACAAATCAAATTCATTCATTCATCATTCACCCATCATTCACCCTATCAAAAGAACTGCTGAACACACGGAACAAAGAAAAATTATGTTCTGTGGATGAACATAAGCCGTCATAGATTGCAGAACCGAGAACGATTATATATGAAATGTCTAGGTAGGGTCTATTAATGTGACGTTGTTTAGACATTTGAGATAACCATCAATGACAATGATAAGTTTTGTCAATTTTTCAATTTTACAAAAAATGCCTTTAAGTTTTTCGGATGAAACACAGCTTAGATCACTCTTGGTAGTACACTCTCTCTCTCTCTCTCACTCTGTTGGTGAAGTTTATTCACAATCGGTTATATAATCGGACAGACAAACAGATATTTTTTTAAAATAAATTGCTATTCATGTTTTAATGGCATGCAAATAGTACCCTGAACTCGATAAAAGCATTTAACACAAATACTTCAATTTGTGTAAGGTACGTGACAACAATTTGACTTGGGTAATATGGTCACCTTAAGCTTATATCAAATCAGAGCTTTATAAAACCAAAACTAAGAGAAGGACAGAGACAAAAACACGAATTCGTATAATATAACTAATAGATTAAGAAAAAATAGCAAAAAAAGCTTTGACAATTAGTAGGAACACTTCGAAAAATCAAATTAAAAGAAACTAACTATACTACACAATACTAAAATCGACTAAAATGTTTACTAAAATGTCGTCTGTCAAAATGGCGTCGATAAAGCAGCATCCTTTTGACTCTTTACTATGTGATTGACTGATTAAATTCTACCGTATCACAAAGCCATCAATGGAAACAAGGCTGTAGGTTTTGAGTTATAAAGAAGTGACCATATTACCCTCACGTACTAGAGATAAAGCAGATTTATATCAAAAATTTAATCGTAACAGCGGACACACTGCAAGAAGTGGAGCTGCCTGTAATCTCCACGGCGGAGTGCCGGCGGCGCACGCGGCTGCTGCCGCTGTACCGCGTCACGGACGACATGTTCTGCGCGGGCTACGAGCGCGGCGGGCGCGACGCTTGCCTCGGCGACTCGGGTGGCCCGCTTATGTGCCAGGTGAACTTTTTATCATTTTTTCAATATGTCAAATGTTTGGCTTTATTTGAATTGAGAAAAACGCTCAGGCATTGCGTTCCTTGACAGAATTTTTAAAATAATTCCAGACCTCGATTAAAAAAAACACAGGTAGAGGTCTTTTTCACTTGGCAAACGCAGGATATTTTAAATTTTTATTTATATAAGGTCCTCCAGACCGAATTTGGGTCACGGCGGATAGTCTCAACGCAAACTGGCTACATGCGCAGGACATGATTATAATGCCAAGTGTGCAAAAGCACAGGTACACTATTTCCTCACTTTTTCTCTACTAAAAAAAATTCTTGAAAAAAAAACCCAACAAATGATTTTGAGCCGCGTCGGGATTCCAACACAGGACCTTAAGATCATCTTAGTCGCGTTTCATAACCACTAAATCAAAGAGGCTGTCATATAATACAATAGTAAGGTTTAAAAACAAGCACAAGTCCATCTGATAGTAAGCGCATGATGTGGTCCATAGAAACTCAAATCTAACCTCAATTAAGAATCAAAATTTGTTGTCACTCCTGAGCTAAGAAGAAATACCTTGTTAGCAGTAAAAAGGGTCCCCGGTTTTCGTAACCCGAAATACAGTAACATTATGTCGTCAGTTGTCAGGCACTTACAGTCACATAAGGTTTACTGTTTAACAACCTGGGGTGGCGCGAGTAATTCAATACTAATTAAGCTGGAAAGAGCCCAAAGAGCGGTCCTCAAAGTCTGCACGTTCAAACCCCTGCTATTACCAACCTTCGATCTTTATCAGTATTGTGAGGTTCTTTCAGTTCACCAACTCTTTATTTTATTAACTGTCCTCAAACAACATAGGACTTGTAGCTATGATCCCTCTTTAATGTTTTCCCAGCGAAATCACCTTGTAGTACGTTCAACCCCGTTCGAAACCCTAACCTCACAACGCTTTTTCTGTTTCTTGGGCCCCTTCCTCTACAATAGACTACATCGTGTGCTCAACATCTTTCCTCTTACAAAACTGTCCTGCAAATCTAAAGTCTCTAATTATTAGCAGACTATGAACTATGAGGAGACTGAATCTCTCCTCCATCCTATCAGGTAGGTAATATACTAACGCCCACACCCACTCTGACATACGCACACACACACACACACACGCACGCACGCACGCACGCACGCACGCACGCACGCACGCACGCACGCACGCACGCACACACACGCGTACACACACGCGTACACACACACCCACACAAACACACACACCATTTCTTTCTCTTTTCTCTCTTTTTTGATTACTTGTGCAATCACTATCTGTACCATAATGATCCACATCCTGTGAGGAGAGTGCTGGTGCTCTGAAACACAGGCTCTTAGCCTAGCTCGGACGCCAGTCTCTCACAATCTAAATATGTTTTTCCCTGGTGATAACCTCTGTTCATTACTATACTAGTTTTTTAGATTGTGGAGAAAATAAAGAATTATTACTATTATTATTATTATGCTGCAACTTTACTCTAATATTATTCTGAGCGAACAACTACGTGTTTAACCTAAGTATCTACTTTTTTAAACAGGAGGGCAGCAAATGGTACATCTACGGTGTTACGAGTAACGGGTACGGATGTGCACGCGCGAACCGCCCCGGCGTCTACACGAAGGTGTCCAACTACATCGACTGGATCGACAGCGTCATAGCCAAATACACTCCTCATGACAACGACACCACTATATTCAACGAGGACGAGCCTGACGAAGATTTCTATACGGATTTAGAAACCGCGGAAAACAGAAGACAAACATCAATTGACACTTGTAGAGGGTATAGGTGCCCTCTTGGTGAATGCCTACCCTCATCGAGTTTGTGCAACGGCTTCATAGAATGTTCGGATGGCAGTGACGAATGGAACTGCCATAAAAATGCGTTAAACACTTCTAGCATCGATCCGGATTGAAATTAACGTTATAGTAACTGAATAGTATGTGTTAGCCAGTAATTAATAGTAGATTACTTTTTTCTAATTCCGACTGATACCTTGTAAGTAGCATTAAGTTTGTAAAAGGCTACAGTTTTCAATAATTTCATATCTCTTCTATTCTTAAGAAAGTTGCTATGCCATACCCAATGTGGGCTTTGTACATATAGTTCTTATTTTATGCCCAACACAAACTCTTTATGATTAATTTCTAAACACTAAACTATTTAAAATCTATTTATTGCAACTACATGGATAACCTTTTCCGTTTGAAGTGCTAAGTATTCAAATGGACGACGTAAGCCATGCACTAAGTAAAGAAATATAAAATTTTAAGTATATTGAGTTTTATTTATACCTTCTATTATCACGAGGGGTACGGTCACAAACAATACTTCGAAACTGAAATTATATATTTACAATTCTACAATACTCTCGTACACGCTTTTGTATCAAAAACACAAAGGTGAAAGCTTCAAAAATATTTAAATAAGAATAAAAGTAATAAGTAAAGCAACAACCTATTAACGACGTAGCAAGAACGTTCACCTAAATTAGTAAATAGTTATAAAGTATATATAGGTAAAATTGAGTTCCTAATAATAATTCCAACAACATAATATGGTGTTATGTGCCGCATCTAGTACGCTAGTACGTGATAATTTATCTATGGTAAATTTGATAAAAAGATTTCAGTAGTCTGGAAACTGCAATGAGTTTTGTCATCGAAATTAATGTCAAAACATCCTTAAGACGCTCTCCGAGCCCTTGTAATTCGTTCTGCCAATCCCTGATGTGTTTAACCTACGAAAAATTAGATAAAAAATGAAGAGTATAAAGTATAGGTAATAAGCAAAGTATGCAAAGTCAAAAGTTGCAAAAATTCATCTCAACTATTTATAATGAGTTGGGTATCATCATATAGGTGTGATATAAAATGTGGAGTAAATAATAATTAGGTACCTAATCATTAAGTTTAGTTTTTTTTTAATCTGCGAAGTGTCTGAATAACAACTATTACTAAATAAATTTGAATAAAAAATATAATAGCATTTAAGATTTAGAAACTATCTAAGATCCAATGTATCATGCTAATCATGTCTAAGGTGTAAAAATAATAAGTAACGATTAAAGTATTGGAAAAAGAAATTACATTAAAATAAAAGTCCACGTACCGTAAAAATTATTTAATCTCTCGACAAATAAATTAAAAAAATCTTCATAAAAGAATGGCATAATAAATAATTACACTTCCTATTAGCGATCTCACAATGTTACATTATTAAAAAGTTACAAGTTGTTTTATGTATAGCACAAGTAATACGTTTACTTCAACAGGCGTAATAATTATTACAATTAGTTATATTAACAAAGCAGATTCAGTAATTTAACCTCTCGGGAAACGATCACAATGATATATTATTTAAATAATTATACATAGAAAGTAATACTAGAGTACGCCCATATACGGTCACGTATTTCGGGGTTTTATAGTCACTCTGATAAGTTACAAACAGCCAATATTATCGAAAAAAAAATGCAGAGTTTATTATCAAACTCGAGACATACACACTTCTTAAACTATTCTTAAACATCTACATTCCGTACCATGTGGTACTGCAATCCTTACGATCTGTCCACTGTCAAAATTAAAAAATCAAAACATGAGTGTAAGGAACATGTTTACATTACACATAAAGGCCATTAAATACTCGAAATACAATTATTTCTACGTCATATTAGATTTATATCTTAATATCTAAGATCGAGCGATGTGAGCAAGAAATGAATAAGTTACACTAAAATGATTCACACATCCGGAAACGTCTTCCGCTATCCTAGGTGGTGTTTTTAATTTTAACGTTATTTTGTGCTTACAAGATTATGAGGCGGAACGTTAGTGAATGAATGTTGAATCAGACCGTGCAAAAATATGTAAGAACTAATCAAATGCGATCCGCCTTTTCAGATAGAGCCTAGGTTAGATATTAATTAGGGTGAGGTTCCGGGTGGTGAGCGTTGAGTTCCGCGTCGATTTAGCCCTTGTTCTCTACGGGCGACGTGGTGAGACCGGTGGGCGGCTTGTTCACTACCGTCTTGAACTGTTCCGGTATCGGGTACTCGGTCTGGCAAAAGAAAACAATCAATAAGTAAACATTTAAATGATATTTCCTGATATACGACATTGCATTCGATTCTAAAAAGGATCTTGTGATTTTCCTAAAAATAAATAAATTCGTTGTTATAATCAACGAGTTCCATAATCAAGAATAATAAATATATAGCACGTTGTTCGTATAATCTATATAAAATATACATAAGTATACATGTTATTATGGCAGTTCACCTAAAATGTCATTCAGAAATTATCATAATACAAAAAATATCTAAAGTTAAAATCACCACATTTCATATTACGCATTGTCTATGAGATATAAATAATATTTATAAGGGTTCTATCAGACAGGAAGCGGTCACGCGTTCAAGCGTTCCGCGTTCGCGTTTTGCGTTCGACCGTTCAGTTGCTCACGAATCACGACCGCCTATATTCTGGTTGACGCGGTCAGAATGCCTGCTGTCTGGGTATGTCTACTCTAAAACAAAATACAACACAATGAACGCAGAACGCGGAAAGTGTGAACGCCTGAACGCCTTCTGTCTGATAGATCCCTAATCGGCAGCAGTATCCTGTTAAAACAATTTTAAATTCTGTTTATCAAAGCTGCAACTAAAGTATTACAAATAATTAAAGGTTATAATGGCTAAGGAATACTTACATAATCCCCGTTGCCCTTGGGCACGAGCACATTCATCTCGGAGGACTTGGAGCTGACGATCTCGACGTCAAGCGACTCCGGCGACAAGTATATCTGGCAGCCGTCCGTCTTGTCTATCGAGATGGTAGGTACCTTGCCCAAAACCTGAAGACAGTAGAAGTATATGACATGTTTGAATTAATTGCTACGGCAGTTTAATGTACAATCTGATCGGACTGATCGCTGCCTCGTTGGTCTAGTGGTTGTAGTAGTACGACTGCTGATCATGAGGTCCTGGGTTCGAATCACGGGTCGGGCCAAAAAATTGATTATTGAGTTTTTCCGTCAAGAAATTCTCAGTAGTTGCCCGGAATCAGGAAGTTGGCGGTGTCTCACCCCCGTGCCTCGGAAAGCACGTAAAGCCGTTGGTCCTGCGCCTGATCTCTCTCCGGTCGTGTCGGTTTACCGTCCCATCGGATTATGAGAGTGAGAGAAAGAGAGAGTGCACCTGTGCTTGTGCATACACTTGAGCATTATAATCCTGTCCTACGCCGATGGCTAGCCTCCGTTGTGGCCGCCGTGGCCGAAATTCGGTCTGGAGGATATTATTATTATTTTATCAGATACTAGCGATCAGTCCCGGCTTCGCACGGATGATATCCGGATTCTACAACACCACCACCTACCGGGTCCAACGACCTATACCTTATAACCTTCGAGCAAGTGCAAGAGATATGTTGACAGTTTTACCGTAATTTGATGAACGGTGTGGCAGCGCATAAAATACGAACAAATAAAAATTAATTTATATGTAAAAGATGTAGTAAGCAAATAATAACTAAACTTTATAAAAAGTAAAACTTTCTTCTAAAAAGAATATAACCAAAAAAATCGATTGAAGTGGTAAAGAATTATCGTTCAACATACATAAAAAATTATTCGGAAAAATTGAGAACCTCCTCCTTTATCGAAGTCGGTTAAAATGCAATTAATCAAAAAAAATTATAACAAATTTTTATTTTTTATACGCATTATATATAATTAACTCAAAAAACTTGAAACTCGCAATATATTCCTTTGTGCATAAAACAACATGTAGTTTAAAATGGATTTAAATCCCTTTCAAATATAATATTTGAGCCAAATTGAATTATTATATTCTAGCACTTCCAATTATTTGTAATCTTTCCTATAATTTTAAACCATATAAGCGTACCTACCAAAAGTTAGTGCTAGTGAATTTCTTAAGTTTACAGAAAAACTATTACTTATTTCATAGTATCAATTCCCTCCGAATCTTATTTGCTAAATAAACTAAACATGTTAATATCACTGATCGAAAGGCAGTCAAAACGAAATCGTCATTCACACATTTAAATCAATTTTTCCTGAACTTGTCATTTTTTTTATAAATAAAGATGTTAATAAAAATTTAAATAAACAAATAAATAATAATGAATAACAAACAGAAATAATGAGGGATTTGAAAAAAAAGTTAGTATGTACAACTGCATAAAGGTAAAAAACAAACATTCAAAGAATGAATTCAAAGAAGAAAACATAAGTCATAACGCTGTCAGGCCAATAAACTTGGGAGCTTTTGACAATACTGATCAAAAACATAATAATATTTTGATATATTTATAACGATATCATGTTTATAAATAAATATAGATGCTATCGTTGTTTATAAAGATTGCGGTCGCGTTACCATTGCTTCACATTAGAAAAATAATGACTGTTGAAGATAAGTCTGTACATGATATTGAAGAAGTTATCGAAAACACCGTGTGGAATTCATCCAAGTATTTCGATTGGTTTATAGATGAATATGGTGTACCGTACGGACAAAAATGCATCAGATTATTATATACTATTTACACACACGTCACCGTTACGAATTTGGTAAGCAAATAATTTAATAGAGCATCTAGGAAACTGAACTATATGGATTTGAATAAATTTAGTTTATTTTTCAATTTTAGTATAATAATAAAATACAATATTTATTAACGTACATTAATAATTAAAAAAACTATAACTAAAATTATAATGAGGTCCCCTCCCGGAGATGGAAACGTTGGCCGCGTTTCCTTGCTGTTTTACCATCACCGACTATTAAATTCCACTGCTGAACATAGGCCTCCCCCATAGACTGACTCATAGGGGGATATTTGCCATAGTTGCCACGCTTGGCAAGCGGTTTGGCAACCGCAGTTTTTATTTTTAGTCGTTATTATGAAGACCCTGCTGCCCATCCCCTGATTAGTTTCCCTCTGTCGCCTCTTACGACACCCACGGGATGATATGGGATAGTGGGTATTCTTACACCGGCACTACACGGTGAATAGCTGTTTTAGTTTAATTAAATCAATTTATAGCGATTATAAATAATTGAATAAGTATTTGTTTCTTTATAGGCTCTTTTCTTTTTCAAATATGTTTCAACAACAGTCTTCACGTATCGATTTATAAAGAATCTTTACATGTCTTCTCGGGAACGACTCAAACAAAAGCAATTTGATTTTGAGGATGTACAATTACAAGTAAGCGGTTTCAGATACATACATGAATTGTGAATCACTTTCTAAAACTGACTTACAAATTAAAAGGATGAAATCCTTCCAACAAAGTCACATCGGTCAAATCTAATCCAATGGACCATTCACAGGTAAAAATAGTAGAAACAAAGTTGAGCGCGCGGGAGGCTGAGTTTACTGAGAGGACAGAAAAATTGCGGCAGGCGCTAGATCGGCTGAGGAAGGTTCGGACACGAGTCCGTGAGTTAATCGCCGCCAACGATGAGTTTCGACACGCTTTTGAAACTACGCCCTGGGATCTAGAAAACATGCAAATCGTACCAGGCCAAGGTATGACAAAGATTTTAAAATAGAACACCTAAGTTAACATCCTTCGTGCTATATACATAGCTTTTTATATGCCTGTTCTTCGTATAAAAACATTATATAAAGGTCCCACTGGGCATGCACCTCCTCATTTTTGAAGTTAAGCACAAGTGAAATGCATATCAGTGACTTCAAACGTCCTCAAACTATTTTTAACTTATCGGACTTCCTCAAGATGTAGTATACTGTCCTGATGGCATAAGGATACTACCACTCCATTTAAATCATTAACCGTGAATGTCGTAAGAAGGACAGACAGTAACTAAAACAGGAAATGGGCAGCACACCATCTTCCTACTAAAAAAAAGTCACAGCCTATATACGTCCCACAACTGGGCACAGGCTTCCCCTCATTTTTGAGAGGGTTTTAGGGCAAGGAAGTGTCCGCCGCACTGCCCCAATAATGTGTGTTGGCGAACTTCACATGTCTTCGAAATATTTTTTTCTTATTCCTCAGACATGCAAGTTTCCTCACGATGCTTTCCTTCGCCGCCGAGCACGTGGTAATTCAGCACTTAAAATTGCAATTAACAATTTCATTGGTGGCGGCGGGGATCGAACCCGGGTTACTCGCGTTCTGTTATATTTACAGCGAGCGTTAACCATCTAAGCTACCACCGCTCTTTCTTCCTACTAACTGAAAATAATTGAAAACTGCGGTTGCCAACTCGCTTCACAAGCGTAGCAACCATGGCAAAGTCGCTTATATGAGCCAACCTATTTGAGAGCCCTATATTCAGCATTAGACTTTTGATTCCCTTAATGAATGAATAACATGACTGAATACATTGTGATACATGTAATATCGATATCGTTATTAGATACTAATTAGATACTAATATTAGATACTAACGGGTACAGTAACTAATCCTGGATAAATAATTTTTATACTATCCACAGAACAAGAACTCATAATGGAGTTGATGAAGGAATTTAAATGCGAGCAGACAGTGTTGTCAGATGACCAAACAGACAAGATGGATTGTGGAGAGCATGTTCCGTCGGAACCAACAAGCCCGGAGAAGAGCGTTTATTCATCTGTCAGTGACTGCCAGCAAGACTGCCAGGTTAAGATAGTCAAAGTGACCAACGTGTACAAAGTCTCTTATCTTAGACACTTTATCAAACAGAAAAGACTGCGGCGTGCGACAAGACAAGCGCTACTGAAAAAAAAGGTAATAACATACTTAAAAAATTTAATAATAAGTATGTTTCATACAAAATCTGTAAATTTTCTTGTTAACCAAAATTTAAAATGTGAATACAACAACTACTCGTTTTAAAATCTTAAACACACGAGTAGTATAAAAATTTGCGGGTTTATTAGGGTGCGGGTAATTCACCGCAGAGTATGTTGTAGTAAAGCTACGCTCAACATGCACTCAAAATTTTCGACAGAGCTGAGCTTATACTATAGTACGGGAAATATATGATTAACTCCCTAAGGCTTAAACAAAACTTTAAAATTAAACCGTTGTTACTTCTATTATTACAATATGTACCTATTTAAGTTCAATTTACGTAAAACAACGTTACGAATTAATTAAAAGCTTTTTTTAAGATGCTATAGGAATGAATATTAATTACATATAAAAGAGCACTTTTTTCTTTATTACCGTCGAATATTTAATTTTCATCAATTATAATCTCGAAATAATCAAAGTCTTAATTAAGTAGTAGGTTGTTCGTTTAGGTTACAAAAACAGAAACTTTTTTATTCAATATGGATTATAAATAATACTTATTGAAAGTCACTTTTTTTAATTTACTACTGGTTCGAAAAAAAATCACTGTCCTGGGAAGAACCAGCAAAAAATCCAGCGGGGCTTTAAAAAAATAACAGATTACAATCATATACATATATTACAATTAACAACAAATTTAAATAGCTTGGTAGCGATCACCCTTCCCAGGGATTATTATAATCCATAAATTCCTTAATATTATAATAACCCTTTTAATACAAACTTATTTTAATTAAGTTTTGATTTTTTTTTGTTTTGAATTGAACTTTGTGCAGATCAAATTTTGTATATTTTCTGGGAGTTTGTTGTAAAAGCGTATCCATCATTATTTGTGTATATTATAGTCATGTAAATTTTTCTCAACTTTTAATTATTAGCAATTTTAATACTTGTAGATGGAAAATATAAAAAAGATACTAGAAGACTGGCAAAAAACACTCAACATGGTTATTAATAACAAATTGGCAATACTGGATATGGACCCAAATCGTATAGAAGCGGCGACGCAAGACGCTATAGGAGATTATACTAAGCCGCAACTACGAGAGTACTCTGACTCGGACAGCGATCTGAGCTGGAATCAGAACCCGTACCGCAGCTGCACGTATTGCTTTGAGGTGAATTGCTCATATATCTATAAATTATATTATAATATATAAATCAATTCATTAATAGTTTTGTACACTGACTACCTCTATATAGAGTGACGACCGGGTAAGACAAACAGGAAGTCGATGGATGCAGGTGGCTCGGGACCATGCTTTGTGGCATTCCTTAGAGGAGACCTATATGTTCAACAGTGGACTTGTGAAGGGCTGGTATGATGATGGTAATGATTTTTCTAAAAGCGATTTGTTCAAACGATCTATTACGCAGCGGTCTTTTCACTGGAAACGGGACATTCTCGACAGACTCGTAAATTTTAATTCTTAATGGCGGATAGATGAGATGTCATGTGGAAGATGTTAGGTTCTTTAACATTCCGTAACAATGAACTTTTTGACATGAGCTTCTATCACGGTCTCCTAACTGATGTGATGGAACATAATCGCAGCTGCTTGGTCGGTGAACTGACAATCGCACTGCGCACCTGTGACACTTGCCCGCATCGCCGCTTAGATAAATACATAATACTAGGAATAAATGCTAGGAAGATTATCTTATTTATTATAGCGTTTGTTATAGTAATATTTTGGTCTTGCGACACTCACAGAACAATATGGATTAATATATTTTCTTAAGCCGACACTACGAAGCTAATATTTATAGTAACATTTCGCTTATATAAGACATTTTTTGACTTTTTTTCGTTTAGGATGTGCCGGACTTAGCAATGTCCCGGGAATTTTACGAACCAAGTGAATACACGGATGTGAAGTGTGAATCGGAGTACGAGGTTACTAGACCGACATCACCGAGCAAGCTGTTTATAGTCACAGAGGAGACCAGCAGCCAGCTAGCTATCGAGGAGGTTAAGAGTGAAGCCGGTGACGACTGGGACTGTCGCGATACAGACGCAATGTGAACTTTATTATATATTTTATTACATTTAATAAACTTTTAGTAAACATTTTAAATGCACTTCTCCTCCATTGACACGTAAAATCTATTGGTGGACATGAACCTCTCCCCCCATCCATACTTCCTTTAAATCTGAATTTTACTGCTGAAAGCGTTCGTTAAGAGTATGTTAGGGCTGAATCTGAGTGACAGGGTGATAAATTATATGATAAGAGAAGAGTGTGGTTTGCAAGGTGATGTTGTGACGAGGATTAAGAAAGGAATGCTTCGGTGGTTTGGTCATGTAGAAAGAATGAATGAGGAAAGACAAAGCAAACGACGAAATTGGCGATATATTGAAAAAGAGCCAAATTAAGAGTACCCTTAACCGACGAGCATGTATGCGTAGGTATATGGATGTGGAGGAGGCGAGAGAGGTGTGTCAGGATCGTGCTAAATGGAAGTCTGTAGTCTCTGCCTACTCCTCTGGATGACAGGAGTGAGTGTTTGTGTATGTATGTAAGTACTGCTAAACATAGGCCTCCCTCATGGGAGGGGTGGGGGCTTGCTTTAGTTTACCCTCCCATGCAAGGAGGAATCGTGTTAATGGTCAGGCTTGGCAGGCGGATTGAGGATCACAGTGCCAGTCGTTCCTTACCTTGACGCCGCTGCCCGTCGCCAGTCTGTGTATTTTGCATCAGGCGTAAACGAGATGGTTATACAGCCATCATACTAGGCATACTCCGTAGTTTAATGTACATCATTTACATTAATGTAAATGACGTATATTAATCCATGATGCGTTGTTCTTGTTTAATTTTAAATACAGAAGTAACGGTAACTTTTTTGCCACAAATTTATATATAAATGAAAGAATAATTCATTTAAAGTATATTTAAATAAATTTTTATTAACAATTCCATCATTTTAGTAATTATTAATAACAGTACTTGTGATTGGTTGTGACGTCATCATATCCGTTGAGGCTGTTAGCCAATCGCAATCATGCTATGCTTTTGTATTTTCTGTATTCGGATCACCATGTGTCATAAGTCATAACAAAACTTAACCCATGAAGGTTAGGGAACAGGAGAACGATCACCGTAGAAAATAGTGTCAGAAATATGGACACCATAAGTGAGGCGCTGATATCGCTAGAGTTCAGTCAATAAAAGTCATTTTCAGTCTATTTTTCCGATCAGATGCTAAACCACTTGCACATCCACGCACAATAAAATATTTCTCCATTTTTCATGTTTCTTTTTGTCAAAAATTACAAAATTACGGAGCATGAAAATTTTCTCACCAATGCCGCGGAGAAAATTTGTACATTATTCAACTAACTTCATCTACTTGTACTCATAAACAGCTAACATCGCACAGTTACTACTCACCGACTTCAGCGCTGCTATAAATTCTACAATTTTCAAGGACAGGCGGGCTATGCTTTAGTACGTAGTGATCGTTTTCCTGTTCTCTAAACCTTCATGACTTAGCCTATATTACCTATGCAATGGCAAATATATCATTTCACCGTGCGGTGGCGTTACTAAAGCGGTTTAATGACGTCACTGGCGCTTAAATTTACATTTTAGTAAAACCATTTTTAATTGTAAAATAACATAAAAAATCAAGTTTTTTCTGTACTTTCAAAAAAATTAAGGTGCGTGTTTGAGTAAAATGCCACGCTAGGGGTTATTTGTGAGGTTTTTAGGAGCTACATATCTACTTAATAAAAATCTATCTTGATTCCTTAATAGGCAGTTCCAATATTTTTTTAAAGGAGTAAATACTTGATGATTCTTCCTACAGCTAAACCACAGAAATGCGAAATAATTATTGATAACATGCATCTCCTCATAAAGTAAGCATTATTTTATTTTCCGATTGACACTAATGGATAGAGTCAATTTATTAATGAACATTTTGGTCAATTTAATTTTTTCAAAGAACTAAAATTCGATTTTATAAAGAACATATTTTGAAATTTGGGCGTATTTCTTACGCAATTTATAGTAGGTACCGAGAGCGTGTGGAATTTAAGAGACCGAACGCTCAAGGTCGTTCGCTAGGAGTAGCCCCTTAATGGCGCTGAAAATAGATTGCAATCTTTAATACACAAACAACATATCTTTATTAAAGGAAGATAAGTATAATCTCGTTACAGGAAACCAAAACTTTTTCCAACCAATACATTTTTTCTATATATTTCACGACTTATGTAGGCATATTTCGTCGAATATATACTAGGTATGTACCATTGCACGAATAACACTAGTTGATAGAGAGACTATTATCCCATGTGAGTAATTTCTCCTTGTAAATCAATTCGCTACTGCAGCCCATGGACACCTACAAGCAACTTAAAACAGAGAAGGTTTCAGATACGTTATCACTCCTATACTCAACCAAATCTAAGATATACGTTTTGACGTTTCACATTAATAATTCCGCAATAACTTTGTACAAGTGTACTCGCACGATTTAGAACAACCTTTTTCGTAAATCCAAAGAATTATGAAGTTTCTATATTTCATTACAACATCTTCAATCACTAATTTAAATGCGTATCTTTCAAACAAAGCAAAATATTTAAAAAAAATCCAGAATCAATTTTTATGCTTGATGTAGTTTCAATGACAATATGTCGTTATGTACTTTACTTGTACAAATTCATGCTAATGCGAATAATCGGTAAAAATATTCTAATAATCGAACCTTTAGGTTTTTTAATTTATTTTTCATAATTTATCTGAATCCTAATGTGGCGAAGTTGCGAGTAAGTTTAGAAGATGCCGGCTTTTATAATGGTCGTATAGTCATTGAGAACTATTTGAAAATGAATTGGCTTCCGATAAAAAAATGTCGAACGCAAAATAATTATTTAGATATATAAATGCAAAAAATGACATTTTTAGGAAAAATTAAAAATATAACCAATTGGAACAAAGTTATATTCATTGATGAAACAAGGCTAAACGCCGACCATACTGAAAGAAACATCCATTTTGAATGTAATAAAGAAAATCAAATAATAATTAATGTAAACAACGATGATAACGGCGACAGCCCAACTAGTTGTAGTGAAAGTGATAAAATAACTTTATTTTTAATCTAGTTCAATCGTATAAATTAGTAAGCTATAAATATGAAACAAACCCTATTTCCCAAAAAATTCCTAATTTTCTTTTTTTTTTTTTAGGGGGAATTAAAAACCAATTTTTTTCCAAAAAAACTGATACATTTTGTGTTTTGCATTATCTGTGTTTACTTTTTTCTAATATTAATCTCGATAAAACATATTATATTATACAATATATGTTTTATGTTGTTAATTGTAACATAGATTATTGTAAATTTTTTTTTTTCAAGTCCCGCTGTATTTCTTGCTGGTTCTTCACAGGACAAAGGTTTTTATCCGTACCAGCGGTAAAATAAAAAAGTGACTTTCAATAAATACTATTTATAATCTATATTGAATAAAAAAAATTTCTGTTTCCGTTTTTGTTAACATGTAGGCTGATGATGAATGGTAGCTCAAGAGCCGGGCTCTTATTATTAATATCACGCGAGCACTTTAATTTCGCTATCCCCGCCATCCCCGCAAGCACCTCTGAAATTTTTTAACGGGAATTACTTATTTAAAACGTGCACTTCAGTGTTGGGAATCTACATGACGTATTTTGATGTCTTTTCTGCGGTCCGGATTATTCCATTCTCTGCTCCAGACCTGTATTGTGCAGTGGGACGAATGTACTCGTAGACCGTTACTTAGAAAATAACTATTACGATTACATGAGACAGTAAATAATACTAAAAATTAAGTGTTGGTTTTATTTAAACATAGATATTTATAATTATGAAAATGCTTTATATAGTGGTATTATATACAAACCTGCATCTGCACGGACTGACAATTGACGAACTCGACGCTGGCGACGAGGTGATCGAAGACGACGGCGCACTTAGTGCACGAGTCCAGGACCACGCCATTGATCTTGCCGCGGACCGTGAGCGCCGAGTCGCGGCACCGGTACATATACACCACGTTGTTCATATCGGCGTTCTCAACCACCAAGTTGGAGTTGCCCTTTTGATACTCCTAATGACAAATGAAATAATAATATTACTATAAAATACTATTATACACTTAGATGATTGATGAGATGTTGACTTGTCTTGTTGGTCAAGTGGTTGTAGTAGTGCGACTGCTGATCATGAGGTCCTGGGTTCGAATCCCGGGTCGGGTCAAAACATTAATTATTGAGTTTTTCCGTCAAGAAATTCTCAGTAGTTGCCCGGAGTCAGGAAGTTGGCGGTGTCTCACCCCCGTGCCTCGGAAAGCACGTAAAGCCGTTGGTCCTGCGCCTGATCTCTCTCCGGTCGTGTCGGTTTACCGTCCCATCGGATTATGAGAGTGAGGGAATAGAGAGTGCACCTGTGCTTGCGCATACACTGTAATCCTATCCTGCGGCAATGGCTAGCCTCCTTTGAGGCAGGCCGCCGAGGCCGGAATTCGGTCTGGAGGATATTATTATTATTATACACTTAGATGTAATACCAATTAAGCTTCATTTACTGGAATACTTAAACCATATTTAGCCGATCTTTAAAACTTCAAATAAAAAAGTTAATTTAAAACATCAAACTGCCTAAAAAGTGAACTTTAAAAAAAGATGAAGACTAGATGACCAATATCTGCCGCCAATCCCACACCCTCTAAAGCACAACCTAAGCCAAGATCCGTGGCCATCGGCTAATTGTCCCTAAACTTATTCTGCAGAAAGTACCATTCGTAATCGTCCTCTCACCGACTGAAGCAGCAGACTATCTGCGGCCAAATACATTACTGTCACATTAAAAAAAAATACAAAAAATGTGGAAATTATTTAGCATGGATTCTACTTAAATTTAAGTTAATGTTTTAACATTGATACTGTCAAAAAATATTTTAAGGCGCTGTATATAGTCAAAGTAGGCTTCAGAAAACAGTTTTGTTTAGCAAGATGAATGTACAAAAAAAAAATGTTAATCTTTATCATAGTTATAAGTGGACCATTGTGTTCAAAACACGTTTTCGGCAAATTTTCTCGATAGAAAAAGATCATGAATTGCCATTGAAATTGAAATTATAGCAATATAACTAATAATATATAATAATAAGGGGAACTGTTGTTTTTATATATAGATTATTATTCAATGATAAATAACTCGAACAAGTCGAACAAAACATCGCGCCAAGGGTATGAAAGTCCTCGGTAGCTTGTTGTTACTTTGATACTAGCGCCATCTCAGAGTAATTAAAAGCACTATTTTCCCCATTTCTTCTTTCTTTTTTTCCAATTCTTCTTTTCATCTGATTTACACATTTTATTTAAAAGATGACGTCTTTTGAATAAAATGAGTAACTGTGCCTCTTTTATGTATCATGTCCTCGAAACTTGGAAAGTAAGTTTTCAAAGTCTTAAACAAAGATTTATGATATATTCACAAAATACATTGTAAGTTTGACTCAGAGAAATCTAAATAATTTTAAGGTTTGACTACAATGGTTCAAAGAGAAATGGAAACTTAAGTTGTATTATTTACGGAGACATGAAGTCATGAATATCTGCTCGACTGCCCCAGAAGAAGGGATACGAATTATTTTTGTGAATGCTCAAGTCATACTAATAATAATGCATATTTTAATTACTTATTTTTGCACTTATATTTTACTAGAACAGGTACTAAAAAAATAACATCCGCCATATTGTGATTAATATTAGTGACACATGTTTTTAAGTTTTATATATGCGGTAATTCTCTACAGTTTTGAATACAATATATAATACATATTCAAAATATTCTTCTCGTAGCACCCTCAAGTAGACTGGAGGGGGTAACTGCTATCCTCATCAACCCGTCCGACCAGCATCGTAAGAACGTAAATCTTCCAAAAAATGCATTCCTAGTAGACTTAAAAATGTAATATAATATTTATATAAAATACAATATTCAAAACAATCTTTACGTAGCACCTTCAGGGAGACTAGGGGACGTACCCCGGGCAAATGGTACTAACCGCCCAGATAAATCCGGCTACCCAGCAAGTTCGAAACAATCTTCGGAGCAATACATGCCATGCAATACATGCAATAAAACCCGATAGCAATGAACGTCAGTACTTTTAACGAACTACTATTCATTTTCAAACAACTTCAAAAATACTTATTTTTGTTCCCGATTTCTCGAAAACGTCTATACTGATTACAATAATTCTTCTTTAATTAAACAGGTTATATTTTATGTACCTCACGAGTTGACGTTTCTTATTACACATGCCACGATAACTTTGTATGAATGTCTACGTAAGAAATCTAAAAATCAAATTTATAATCTCAAATAATTACTATAGTTATTCATACACTATAATAATAAGTATCATTCGTAAGCACCAAGCTTCACTTTATATTAGAAAAATGCACTCAAAAACACGAACTAATCGTTAATTAATATTTCGACAGGACGTTATTACAATGTCATGTCTTTGCGTTTGTTGCTGTACTGTTGCGACCGTTATAAACCGTTTTTTGACGATATAAAATGGATGTTCTGAAAAATCGATAGATTAACATTTAGAAAAGAGAGAAACGTATTATTAAATTTTTAAACATATAGGAAATAGTTTGACTAAAAAGGCCTGAGTGTTTAAACCTCATTTTTTTCTCTCTAGATGATTGATTCGTCAATATTGCGCGTGGTCTCTCGCTATCTAGGAAGTTTTTGTGTTATTGGTTATTATTATATTTTCTGAATCGGCTATCACTTTTGGACTGCTTCTGTTATATTCGTTGACCTTGGCCTGCTAACTCCATACTTTGATTACGCATTAAGTGATTTTGGCGTTATCGTATGAATTAGACAACATGTATAAAAGACGACGTACTTTTAATAGACAGTCTCGTAACTTGGTTTTGAAGTTGCACGAGTAGGACTTCAAACGAGAGTCAGCTAATTAAAGGCCTCTTTAAGAAGTTACCAAGTACAATAACGAGTCGCACAAGCGCTTGCTCTTTCTGACCGAGACGGTGGTGTCCTCGACGGCTAATACTTTGTATCTCTCCTACCCGAGGTACAAATTGGAACACTCCTTCGTGGCTCGGGCTGGAATTTGCGAAAACGTCAGAGAGGACATCTGTTCTCGACGCCTCGGCAGTCTTGAAGGTTCGGACCTGTCCATCTTTTGGCTACGCGTTGACAACGATGACCATCCGAGCGTCTACGGGTGCCTCTACAAGTCCTACAGCGGTATTGCCGAAACAGACCGACTTATCGACCACGCCCAAATGGCTGCAAATTCCTTGTTACAGAAGATCCCATCCGCAGATATCGTGTTCCTTAGTGATGTTAACGCCCATCACGCCGTATGGCTCGGTTCACGTCTAGCAGATCATGCGGGGAGATCTGCTTATGACTTTGCTTTAGCATATTATGGTCTGACACAACTGGTAACTTCGCCTACGCGGATTCCAGATGTGGAGGATCAATCACCTTTCCTGTTGGACATTCTGCTGACCTCTCATCCAGATGGATATCAAGTCTCCGTCGCCACCCCTCTTGACTCCTCGGACCATTGTCTGATCCGGAGTGTGGTGCTCACTCACGCTCCCTTTGCGGTTGCGTTCTGCACGTTGCAGCCGTGTTTTTCAGTCTTTCTTTGCATTCCACCCATAGGGACGGCTTTGCTTCTCGCTGGATGACCCCAGCGCTCTCGCTGACTCTACACTGACGCTGCGCTAACGCTACGCTACAGCGAATGGAACTAATTATTCCATCATCTGTGGTACCTATCGGAGGCAGATCACAACCTTGCTTCACTCCTGTAAGACTGCATTACGCAGTAAGCAGGAGTGTTATCAGACCTGGGCTTACGTTACCGTACGACCATTGTTGAACAAAGTATCGGATTGGGGACGACTAAATCTAGTCCAATTTAATCCCCAGAAGTTTGTGCGTTTACCGCTAAAATGAATCCCTTTGTCGTATATCCTCAGTTTCAAGGCACTACCCTTGTTGCCTCAGCTAGTATCGGAATCGCGGTCACTTCTAAAAAGACTGGCGTGCTTAGAAAAGCGGGACAGTATTTCATGCCGGCACACCGCCTGCAACTTTACAAGGTGCAGGTTCGGTCGCACATGGATTACTGTTCCCATCTCTGGGCCGGAGCTCCCCAGTGTCAGCTCCTTCCATTTGACCGCATCCAGCGCAGAGCGGTTCCAATCGTCGACGACCGAGTCCTCTCCGATCGGCTCGATACACTGACACTGCGAAGAGATGTTGCATCTCTTTGCATTTTCTATCGCATCTACCACGACAAGTGCTCTGAGGAATTGTTCGGATCAATTCCAGTCGCCAAATTTCACTAACGCACATCGCGACAAAACTCACGATACCATCCACACCATCTGGATATTTGGCGGTCCACCACTGTACGTTTTGCTAGGAGTTTTCTTCCTAGTAACGACCCCTCTATGGAATCATTTACCACCGGCGAACTTTTCGAACCGATACGATTTAGAGACCTTCAATAAAAAGCTTACCCTAAAGCTTACCCTTCCTAAAAAGCCGGAAACGCAACTGCAATCCCCCTAGTGTTACAGTTGATCATGGGCGGCGGTAGTCACTTTCCATCAGGTGAGCCGCATGCTCGTTTGCCCCCTCTTCTATAAAAAAAGTTTCTTCGTATTCTGTTTGCATGAAATTGAAGAAAAATCTCTCTTTGGTTGTACTGTTTGAATCTGGCTGGTTTTAGTATCAATACATATATACATATAGGACATTAAGAAATATAAAAATAGAAAGTAAAAAAACATTTTCCCGCCATTTTCTATTGTTTTTCTGTCCGCCAAAATGAATGAATCTAACGAAGAATTTCAATAATTCTGAAGTTTTATTACAAAAAAAAAAACAAAAATATGACTCAAGCCGAGAAAAAAATTTGTGATGTTTATGGATCTAATGCAGTGTCGGTATGAGTATAGATAGCAGTAAGATATTACCCATATTGTCTCATTTTCTAATTTCAATTACTTTGAACAGATTCTAAATTGTCATTATGCTGCTCAATAGAAACAGCTCTGGGTAGCTCCTTGGATGAGTTAATATAAAAGCTAGGGGAAAAAGTTTCTTCGTATTTTATAATATAAATTCGAGACATTTTTTTCCAAAGTTTAATTACATTTAATTATGATATATATGTGCCATTTTGATGATAACTGGTTGCCATCTTGTAGGTAGTGATATAATCCCGTTGCTGTAGAAATCTTAGGATTTTTGATCAAAAAATAATTTTGACAGTCCTCTCTTGATGTTATCCTAACATTAACCAAAGAATTCTGAAGAGACCGAAACAGATGAAAATCTGAGGGTGTAGTGTCAGGACTATTTGGTAGATGTATTAACACTTCCCAACCAAGCTCTCTCAATTTTTGTTGAGTGACCAAATATGTGTGGGGTCTGGCGTTATCATGAGTGGTCTTTCACCACTCCTTTTCTGTTGATCAATTTCGGTCGTATTTTCTCAATTTGTTACTTGAGTTTCATTAGATGTTGGTAGTAGATATCCGAATCAACGATTTTTCACGGCTATAAAAGCCCATAATTAACGATGCCCTCCAATCCCACATACACACTCAGCATCACCTTATTTCGCGTTAATCCGGATTTAGCTAGTCTGTAGAGTTTGACTACCCTTTGACCACGATCTTTTTCGCACTTTCTTGTCATAGGTAATCCACTTTTTGTCACCAGTGATCAATCTTTTCAAAAATGGCTGGGTTTCATTATGTGTCAACAGAGAATCCCAAATGAGTACACGATTCATTAGGTTTCTTTCAGTGAGCTCGTGTGGTACCCAAATATCGGGCTTTTTTGTATAGCCACTTTTTCAAATGGGTCAAAATTGTTTTGTGGTTAAACCTCATTTTCTCGTCTATGTCGTAACTTTATATTTCACTAGCTTGCCAGGCAGACGTTGTTCTGCCCTTTTCGACGATTCTTTGTCATATCCTATTAAAAATCTAATAAAATATTGTGAAAACATAAACACTCACGCCTGTCACCCAAAGGGGTAGGCAGAGACTTACAGACTTCCATTAACACTATCCTGACATACCTCCCTCGCCTCTTCCACGTCCATATACCTACGTATACATGCTAGTGTGGAATCTAATGTGGAAATTATAATATTTTATTCTTTTTAGTTTTTGAAGTCAGTTTCCACTTTATATTAAAATTTTAATTTTAAAGCGTTATTGCTTATTACCTAAAACAGTGCCACTTCAATGAAATATCAAACGAGACGATAGATATATTATATAGAGAGATTAAGCTTAGTTTAAGTAGAAGTTTAAGTTTTGTTTAGGCTTCGGAAATTAACATTAAATATTTTACCTGTGCTTTAATTAAGTTACAACCAAAATAGTATGTCGGCTGAAATTCGAAACTAATAACCACAACTCTCAATACCGCTAACAATGTAACTTATTTGTTGTAAGATATCTTAACAATCGAAAGATAATATTTTGCTTTAGCGAGGGTCGTTTGTGTAAGCAAACAAGTACATAATCTCTTTTGTTTTTGCGTATTACAATGGTTTATTAGCAAGGATTAGAGTCGGAGATCCCACCGAGTGATTACTGTGCCCCTTTATCTGTTTTCTACAAACACAAACAAGGGTTGTGTGAAGACAAATGTGAATCATAATAATTGGCTCGATAAAATAAAATCATAAAAATGACACTAAATTACTTGCACTGAAACCGTCCAAATAATTTTATACACAAACTTATATCAAATGAAAGGTTTAAACTCGTTTGTGAACATTGAGAACACACTTTACAAACTCCTTTTTATCTTTATAAAAATATAAAACCGACAAATAATCAATGAACATCTTTGAAGTTGGGTAGGATGTACATTTTATTTCTAAAATATCTCCGCTTTAGTACTGATTCTCTCGACAATTGCGGGGAGAGCAATTTAACGTTTTTATGCCTACATACACGCACGTAATTACACATAATTTCAACATACACCGATTACATCTCGCTGCCTAGAGGTTGAGGCCGTAAAATGCCAACCGAAACTTTTTAAGTTCTTTTATAATATTTTTGATATTGCTTTTTTTTTAATAAACATGAAAACAAAACAGTTCACGAAAGAAATCATTAATTTAAACTTATTTTACAGATTTTAATTCAATGCGTTTCGGGACTGAAGTATTCCACATCCCGATGATGTAACAAGGGTTAACTTTTGATACGATCTACGCAGAACGAGCTTACAGTATTTTGAAGTCACCACCACCATGTTAAGTCCACACTGAGGTCTACAGATACCTACATCTGTCCTAGATTAAGAATTAAAATGCAGATGCCTTATCATCCCTGAAAATTAAGATGGAATGCCTCGTTACCAGAAATAGGGTCTCCGATTCTCATAATTTATACGAAACACAGCTTTATTATGCTGCTATTTCATGCATTATATGAGCGCGTCATCGTTCCTTGGTCCTGGCCCTGGACCGGCCCATTCATGCTATATTCATAATACATATAATATACAATATGCTACTGCATGGCTCTACAAAGTTGTTGAAACATATTTGTCTCTATCAATAAAGAAAATGCCATAACACTCGCAACCAATTCCTGATTTCTCCTTGATTTATAATACTAGAGTAAATACATTTTACAGTTTATATATTTCGCTGCCATGATCTCGTGTTTTGTTTCTATTTTCATATATTTATTATTTAATAAACTAAACTACAAATAAGCCTGTTTAGTTGCTTGAAATCCTGTTAATATAACGAAAATAAAATAAAGACATATCACACAATCACAATCCTTTACTTATTATGTTCTTGAAGACGAAATCGGTCCAGGTTTGGAGGAAGAAACAAGAAAACACGAATTGATGATTATGTCAATTTTTCATAGGTATAATGCGTTCATGTTACAGTTGCCTCTTTGGTAGTCTAGCGTGAGCGTTCAGGCACAGCACGACAATAATATATCGTAAAAAAACCTATTTTCCAAGTTTCTTGAATCCCCCTTATCAATCAATCCCCTTTGCTGTCAGATATTAATTAGTTTGGGCTAGAAAACCACTGTGGAAATGTATTTCAACATTATTTTTGAATTTGAATGTGAATAAAAAGTAACTAACCTTCCAATTTGACATAGTAACGTCATAATTTAATCACGCTTGTGCACATAGTTTTTAGGCGACAATTAAAGAATGGTTACGATTCGCCATTAAAGGAAGGCAAAAATCTTAGATCATACAGCCTTGTATGATTTGTATTTTGTTTAATAAACTCTTTACAATATGCCAATGCGCCATATAGCTAAGCTTTTGGGCGATTTCAAGTTTCCGCGAAAACCCCTATCAAAGAATGTATTAGATACTTTTTTTTTTCAAATAAATACTAGTAATATAAACCTAGTATAGACTTACGATGAGCCACTTCTTGCCGTCACGCGTGAAGACGGGTGGCTTGTCGAGCTTGCCGGCGCCGGGTTGCGGCAGCGGCTTGGCGGGCGCGGCGGGCGCCTGATGCGCGGCCTTGAACGGCGCCGGGCCCTGCCGCAGCGTCGGGTTCTTGTGCGTCTGCATGTCCGCTGTCACTCTGCGCAAGTCTACGGACAAGTGGACACGCACATGCTATACCGAACTTAGTTATACTTATACAGTTAGTATAGTCATTATAAAAACACAAGGTGATGTATGATTGGAAGATTTTTTCGAAGTGAAAACCTATTTAGAATAGTTTGGATTTAATTCAAAACGAAAAAGCGACTCTAAAAATAAAAAGTCAAACATAGATCTATTATATGTCTTAGCCAACGAAAGAATGAGATAGAATACAGTTTACAGTGTTTCCTATTACCTCGGTCTCCTTTTCCGAAGTTTTATCTTCTACTGCATGTGAACTACACACATACTATAGTATTTGTAGTTCGTAGTCAACTAAGAGGTGGATATGTCGTCAACAGATTATATGATTCGTCACTTTACAAACGTCATCATCTGCTTGCTGGATTGTGATTTTTTTTTATTAATTTGCGAAGGCAAATTAATACGTCGTTGTCCGATCGCAGATATGAGCAGATCTATATAATATATCCAATGTGCTGTGGATATAAATCTAATTTATATAATTTATAATTGTACGGGTACTATATATAGGAGAGGATGCAAATGAACGTGTGGCTAACCTACCTCCATCCATGAACAACTACAACACCAGGGGAATTGCAGATGCGTTGCAATCCTTTTACAAATGTGTAGGCGCTTTTCTTAAAGGTCTCTAAGTCATATCGGTCCGGAAAAAAACTGCACGTCATTCGATATGTCGACTCCGAGGATTCCGATACTGGCTGAGACAACAAAACCTCGACTTCAGACTCAACTTTTTTCCGATACTCAGCGAAGTTTCCCCGAAAAATATTGGCACAGTCCATGTATAAAGTATCACCAGTGCTGTCACCGCTTAGCAATTAATGTTACCGGTTTGCAACATATCATTGATATGCAGAAGAAACACCGTGGGTGATAGTACGTAGCCTTGTGGAACACCAGCGTCAGTAGGCTTGTAATCGGAGCATGCACCGTCTATTACTACTTTGATGCGCCGATCTGAAGCCCATAGGAAGGAAGCTAGGAGAGAAGCGCTTTGTGCCAAACCCGATCGTAGACCTTCGCTGTGTCCAAACTAACCGCCAAAGCCTCCCGTTAGGACTAGACCGCCTGCGCCCATCGGTGTGTTAGGTAAACAATAAGATCACTAGCTGACTAGCTGAGCTACCACGACGGAGACCGTACTGACGGTCACTAATCAGCTGGTGCTCCCAAGGTACCACATGAACTAGCAGTTAATAATGGACTTCATTATTTTTTGAGAACAAGGAAGTGATGCGATAGGCCTGTAGTTGGACGGATCAGTGGTTACCTTTTTTAGGGATCGGGTGCACGGAAGTTGTCATCCATGAATGACTCCGCCTAGGGAGTAGAAATACCGGAAAAGACGCGTTAGAACCGGTATCAACTTTGGAACACTCGTTCTCAGCACAATTGGGGTGATTCCGTCAGGTCCACTCGACATGGAAAGGATGTGAATCACACATCAAACATAGAGCACTCACAGTCACACCGCGGGATAGTGGGCTGTGTATTTGCGATCGAGAGTCAAGTTGGAACCTAAAATGTCGACTTTCTCTTTTGCGGCGTGAGCCAGTGAGTCGTCCTCTCTGTGAAGATATGGAAGTGATGGCTTACAGAAGATCAATATTCTGTCAATAGTATAGATAAATACAGCTGTCAATATTCCTGTTTAAAAAGCGCGGTTATGATTTTACAAAAAAAATTAATTACTCATAACCTATACATTACCGCAAGGGGGAAAGGATAGGAGGAGGAGGTTTATTCTGCACCCACCCTCTCCCCCCAGTACTCAATTACGGGATGTCTATAGTTTTACCAATTATTTAATTATGAGTTTTTAATGTAACTATTTAGAAGAGATGGAGGTTATGATGTTCCTTAGTTCACTCAGAAGGGTTAAAATATTAACGTTTAAAAAATTAAAATACAATCAAAGAACTTTAATGAATAAAATAATTTCACATTCTGAAATCGGGTTTAATTGTTCTGTAGACTGTTTTAGAATCTGAAATTATCTTATTCTTTTTGTTTGTTTGGTCTTTTTTTTTCTTTTTTAAAGTATTTTTTTGATGGCGTAGCAATGGCATTGCCTCATTTCTCTTTACGTTCCCTTTTACACCAAGGAACACACCGTAGCACACATGCCCCAGCTATGAAAAACCCGAGCTAACTTGGAACTCCTGTACTAGAGAATATGCTTACGGCTAGTGATGCCTTCGCCCTGGTTGATCTCCGCGAAGAGGGCGCTGCGGTCGTCAATGGACATGTTGGAGAAGTCAGCCTCCGGCAGCACAGGCGGCGGCGGCGGCAGCCCACCGGCTGGCGGTGGCGGCGGGGCGCCCGCACCCGCGCCCGAGCCTGATTGTGTGATTCATTGTTTTATTTACCTACTCTAATAATCAGTCATAATATTCTTCACTAACGGTATATCGTTAACTAACGGTAAAATTTACGGGGAAATTACGACACATCTCATCAGAACTTGAAAACGAGATTGTACAACCAGCGCGGTGTTGCCAGTGATGATTTGTGGATCTGAGACGTGGTTCTTCACTGTTGGTAGCATGAGGAAACTCAAGGTCGCACCGCGAGCGATGGAGGGGGCTATGCTCGGGGTTTCTCTGCGTGATAAACTTATAAATGAGGATATCCGCAGATGAATCAGAGTGACCGACATAGCCCAACGGATTAGTAATTTGAACTGGCAATGGGCCAGTCACATAGCTCGCAGAACTAGAAACGACCCTCACTATATAGAGTGGCGACCTGGTAAGACATGTGTCATTCCTTGGAGGAGGCCTATGTTTAGCAGTTGACTTGTGAGGGGCTGTAATGATGAAGAGGGTTTTTAATTAACGGTATAACGTTAAAACGTTTGTTAATTAACGGTTAAATTAAGTAATAGCGTCACTACTTCCCGTTGATGATGAAGATAAATAGCGCCCAGTTCTCAGTCCTATATGAATTATTTGCGATAGTACGTCATTGCAGCAAAATTTGTATTAAAAACAACAACAAATAAATTATTAGAAATATAATGCAACACACGGACACAGTTATTGTGTTAAGCATTAACCAATAAAAGTATATGGAGTCAAAACTGATCTACAGTAATGTTCATTTCAACTGTATATATGGATTTATTTATTCACAAAGAAAAAAGGATCAAAAGAAAGGTCAGTATCCAATCTTGCTTATACAAATAAACTAACTTCCCCTGATAGAATATTGTCCTTTTTTTTCTTTACTCTCATTTGTGTAAAGTAATAAAATTTGGCGTTGTGCCCACGTTGAAGACATCCATAACACTAGAAACTCAGAAGCATTGTACGCTTAGAAATGAGATACGAAAAAATAACTTTATACAAAAGCAAAATCTAGTATAAGAAAAATATGAGGCCGAAAGAAAGGGAATATTACATAAAACATATCAACAATCCCGCCCACGGCTTGTACTTTGGTCACCTCCAAGCCGCGCCGGGGGAAATCACGTAAATTTTACAATGCGACCGAAATGTACATTAGCGTACTTAGAAAAATAGACACAATGATCAACAATATTTTGATCTTTTGATTATTTTTGATTGTAATATGTACATTTATAACACAAGACGTTACGAGCGAATTCAATTATTTCAAATTGCGTATATTTTGAAAGTGTTGTACGTTATTTGCAGTTTATAAAATTCAAATGATAATTTAGCATTTTACTGCGTTTACAAGTAATCACACACTAGCGTTTTTGTTTTAATTAATTTTCTCTGAGACATACGTTGATGCAATTAATAACGGTGTAGTTCAACTAATTTTGTTTTAATTACTTCTGTGTACCTGTCGGAATAAAAACTTAGCTTTAAAAAAAAAGAACCGCAATCATTTGTTTTCTAATAGTAGAATATTAGAATAAAGATAATGGGATGTAATTCTATAAACATAACACTGTTTGAATACTTTTTAGTGCCACTGCTCATCAGGCTGTAACGGGTTCGAACCCGGGTAGGACCAAAATAACCAGTTATTAGGTTTTTCTGTTAAGAAATTCTCAGCGGCATTCCGGAGTCGAGAAAGTTGGCAGTGTTTGCCCTTTCGTGCGTCGTAAAACACGCATCGGTTTTGCGCCTTATCTCCGGTCATGTCGGAATGCCGTCCCATCGGACTATGGAAGTGAGGGAATTGAAAATGCACCTGTGTTAGCGCACACCTAAGTGTACTGTAATCCTGTCCTGCGCAGATAGTCTCCGGTGAGTTTGGTCGCCAGGACCGAAATTCGGTCGAGAGGATCATTAAAATAAAAAGAATATCAGCTTCATGATTCCTTTATAACTGAGCCACTTAACATTGTATTGACTAAAAATATTCACTTACCAGACCACACAAGGCCAGTCGTATGATGCTGCTTTACGTAGGCTTGAAGATCAGACAAGAGTTGTACCCAAGCGCGGCACCATTCCACGTGTCTCTTGTCCTTCTCTTTCCACTCCTTTAGAACACGGTTAGTGTAGAACTGTCCGGCGTCGTTCATTTCTTTCACGTAGGGTGCGGGAGTTGGTGATATCGCCACCCAACCAAGAGCAGGAATACTTTCAGAGATCGCCGATAGGTGATTGAAGAAGGAAGAGACTCGATTTTTCTCTCGGAACTGTTGTATGGCAGAAATTTTATCGCTGGTCGGAGACAACAGTTGCATCTCTTCGGCTTGCGACGGCTTGCTCCTAGATGCCGCCAATTGTATGTAGCGAAGCTGTGCCCTGTTGAAATCATTATGTTAACCTGACCGTGCAGTGGCGATGTAAGAATACCCACTACCCCATATCTTTCTGTGGATGTCGTATGAGGCGACAGATGGAAACACGTCAGGAGATGGGCAGCAGGGTCTTCCTGACAACGACTAAAAATAAAAAAACGGTAAGTACGAGTGACAAACGAGCACACAGTCCACCTGACGGTAAGTGGTTGCTGTGGCCCATAGACAACTACATCTATCCTCGATTACGAATCAAAATTCAAATGCGTTGTTACCCATGCGGACTAAAATGGAATGTCTGGTTTCCACTACAAAGGGTCTCCGGTTCTCTACACTCACCATACGAAACACAGCAGCATTACGCTACTATTTTACGCTGGTATTCTGTGAGAGCGTGGTCCTTCCCCGATCAAGCCGACCTATTCGTGCTACAACTATACTACTAATATAACTGCAGCATGGCTCTACCACGTCTAGAACCCGCTTGCCAAGTGTAGCAACAATGGCAAATATCCCCCCCTAGGAGGAAACCTACAGGGGGAGGTCTATTTTCAATAGTGGACCTTAATTGGCTATAACGGTAATGGTAACCTTATCGTTAGAAACGTAAAGTAATCGTCACAGCTACTATCTCACTCGTCTGTACTAGTCACTTATCAGTTCGTAAGGAATCTACGCTAAACATGGACCTCTTCTATAAAGTGGAGATTTGCCATTATAAACACTCTTCGCAGACGGATTAGTGATAGCAATGTCAGACCGAGAACAATATCAGACCGATCGTAATATTAGACCTCACGTAGCTTTGACGTCGTTTCCTGTCCCCGGTCTGGAAATCTGGTAATACAAGATGGTTCGCCGTCATCTATCGGACACTTTAAGATCTGCGCCTTTTACAACACCCACGACTGTGACTATGATGATGATATTAGGATAATGGTTCTCTCATTACACCAAAACACGGTATTCATTCATTATTCATTATAACAGTTCATTCTTTTATAACAATCAATGAAGCAAGTTATTAAAATAGAATTAAATATATGTACGTCGATACAACACTTTTAGCATAACAAAAAGCGAACAATACATCGTACCCTTTCACGTGACCTACTGCAGAAACCTTGACTTTCTGATAAAACTGTGTTGTATAGCGTACATACGATCAATATCAAATAAGTAGCATAACAAAACTTAAAACAACTTACTGGAAAGCCTCGTTGACAAGGTTGGCATGCGTGGCGACATCTCCGCCGATCTGCTGAGACAGCTCGAGGTACGCCCGCAGGGGACCCTTCAAACAATAAAAGTAATGAAAACTCCAAATATCTCTTGTACTTTGTGTTAAATGGGATAAAACTATTTAATTTTATTGATGTTCACTTGTAAATTGCTCTATTTGCTCATGTTCAACGTCGATTTATTATCTCGTAGAATAGTTCGACGTCGTTATTAGATACGTTTTATTTTGTTATAAGCAATTCCAAATGTATCGACTCACGAGTTTTATGTGTAAATAAAATTTATTGCTTGTAATTTATTATGTACTTTTAAATATATACTTATTACTTTCATAATTCCTACCATCTTTTTCTTGAAAGTGTTGAGGGTGATAGATAAACGACCACGCAGTTCATCTGATTACCATTCGATGGTGCGGTCTTTAGACACCTTCATCTATCATCCATTACGAAATAAAAAGGGAATGCGTTGTCACCCCTGACGGGTTTGCAGTAAAAAGCTGAGCTGACTCTAACTACTACATAAAATAATATTTAATTCATTGAGTAGGTACGGCAAACGAAACCTACCATGTAGAAATCGTTTTGGTTATTGATAACATTATTTTAATCATGACTAGCTGTTTCCCGTGAATTCGTCCGCGTGGAATTTATTACGATTGCAATTCCTGGGTTTAAATTTTTTGCGCGGAACCCTGATTCTTTTTCCAAAATAAAAGTAACCTAAGTTAATTCTTATAACATCAAGCTATGTGCCAGTAAAAGTCCCGTCAAAATAAGTCCAGCCGTTTCGGAGATTAGCTGGAACAAACAGACAGACATCAAAAGTTTAAAAATTGTTTTTTGTTATATGAACCGTGTGTACTTTCTAATGCATTCTTCTTAGGCATTTCTATTTTATTTCTTTGTATAGATGCTATAACAAGTGTTCTAAATAAATTTGAATATGAAATAATTCTGTGTATTATCCTCAACATGTAAAATGAAACTAATTTAAAGCGATAAAAATCCGTAAAAATTAGTGTCATTTAGTGATCAACAATTAGTGTAGTGTAGTGTACGCGAGTAAATATAAGAAATCATTATCCTCAACGTGATTCACATTCAAAAAAGATTTTATTATCACTTTTCCTTACTTGACAAGGTAAAGGCAGAAAAACATGAAATGTTTTATAAGCTAATGGTGTAATTAAGTACTTGTGTAAGTAATTACTTACACTAGTAGCTTATAAAACATTTCACGTTTTTCTGCCCGTTATAAAACAAAACGATAAATAACTTTTGCAAATATTTATTCAAAAATTGAATATTGTGAGTATAACATTTAAGAGTTTATTTCGAATGTGGAAAAAGTCCTAAATAATGCACTATCTTGTCTCGTAATGAATTCCAAAATACGTCGTATTTTTAAATATTTGAAAAATCCAAAAGTGCACACCTGGAACGCTCACGTAACGTTTTGAATAATCAATTTAATTTTATTAATAACCGAAACACATATTTCGTTAGTTGTTTGTGTTTAATCAATAGGAAATTTTTTTGACTGTCGAATAGAATAGATAAATACCGGTGATTCGTATTTTGTTACCGAAAAAAAAATTCAAATATTAAAATCTAAAGCTAATTAAAAAAATCAAAGTGATAAGTTCAGTTTTTCGAAAGATATCTTCTTCACATCTATACCGACTAACTGACGTCCAAATTAAATTATTTGCAAGTAACTTTTTTTTATAATAATCGAAATAAATAATCTTATATAACTACGGCAGAAGTAATAATTGAAATATCCTGCTAGTGGTGTCCTTTATTTATTATATAAATAAATCAATAACAAAGCTGGTGGAAGAGATTTGAGTGGATCGCGATTTTTGATTAAGCGGCAATAGAGCACTATATAATATGTCCGCTTCGTGTTCGATGTAACTTGCTAATTCAAAAAGTGTGCTAAAGTAGCATTAAAAAAAATCAACACGCCATGAGTCATGAGCTGTGATGACACATGTGAGAATAATAGAAATCATAATGATAAAATTCTTCTATTATCATCGGCACCTAATATATTTGCAATGATTTAGATTTTATTCAGAAATTAAATGCTAAATGTTGCCTGCTCTATTCTATAACCATACTATTTGGTAAAAGTTACACAAAAATTGTTCAATAATTCGATTACAAAACTGCCCAATGTGCTTTATACAACAAAGTTGCCTTTAAATCTGTTCCTAAAATTTTCCATTTACCAAGAGAATATCTGGGCAGCAAGACATTTGAAGAATATGCTTTTATCAGATCTATTCTCGCCACGCTGTGACCCAATGACTAAGCTAGACAACCGAAAGAGAAAACTGCAGTTCGAACTATACCTATGACAAACGCACGCAACCATCACCTTGTATGTTCGTTTCGTCTTCCAAAACAAACGAATTTATTTATTTGTTCAAGGACAATAAAGAAGTATCATAGCTACATCTGCAAATTTATTAGCTGCATGTCTGACGGCATAATTTAATTATATGTTATATTGCTGTACAGAGTAACTATACGTGGTAGATCAACACGGCAGCTGCATTAGTTGTGACACGAATGGGTCGTCTCGACCGGGGTAGGACCACGCTCACACAGAATACTAGCGCAGCAACTTAAGGCGGCAGTGTTTTTTTAATTATATGTTATATTGCTGTACAGAGTAACTATACGTGGTAGATCAACACGGCAGCTGCATTAGTTGTGACACGAATGGGTCGTCTCGACCGGGGTAGGACCACGCTCACACAGAATACTAGCGCAGCAACTTAAGGCGGCAGTGTTTTTTTAATTATATGTTATATTGCTGTACAGAGTAACTATACGTGGTAGATCAACACGGCAGCTGCATTAGTTGTGACACGAATGGGTCGTCTCGACCGGGGGTAGGACCACGCTCACACAGAATACTAGCGCAGCAACTTAAGGCGGCAGTGTTTTTTTTAATTATATGTTATATTGCTGTACAGAGTAACTATACGTGGTAGATCAACACGGCAGCTGCATTAGTTGTGACACGAATGGGTCGTCTCGACCGGGGTAGGACCACGCTCACACAGAATACTAGCGCAGCAACTTAAGGCGGCAGTGTTTTTTTAATTATATGTTATATTGCTGTACAGAGTAACTATACGTGGTAGATCAACACGGCAGCTGCATTAGTTGTGACACGAATGGGTCGTCTCGACCGGGGTAGGACCACGCTCACACAGAATACTAGCGCAGCAACTTAAGGGGGCAGTGTTTTTTTACTCGAAACAAGGCATTCCATCTTAGTCCTCAGTGGTGACCACGCAACTGCATTTTGATCCTTAATCGAGGATAAATAAAGACGTCTATAGGCCACAGCATCCACTTACCATCAGGTGGACTGTGTGCCGGCACGTAAAAACATAATAACCAAAACAACAAATTATGCTTTCTCTTTATTACACTGACAAATGTATTAGTCACTCGTACCGCTGGGAGGTGATAGGTAGTTTAATGGCCTTTTATGAATGATATCATCATAAAGATAGGGAAGCCATTGATCGAATATAAAACAGCATCATTAACATGTTATATAAAAGCAAACATTCATTTATTTTGATAAAATATACACTACTTATAAATTATTATTTTCAAAATTGGGCAAGGAAGTGCAAAATATTCCAGAGTGATTTGTTAAATTCCGTAACAAAAATCTTACAACTCGACTTGTCATTTTAAATATAGGTAAGATACACGTAAAATTTAATATGAGAATCTCACGCTATTTCTCAAACGTAAATTTGTTGTTTTTTTTTTTAATAATATAATTAGATAGGGTGACAAACGTTTATTAGCTGTCGATGCAACGTAGTCACTTACGCAACTTATGTAAAAATAATTAATTGATTGATTGACATAATTGAAATTTTGATCTAATCTACAAAAATAGATATTTAGATCCAAGGCGTGGACGACACGTGACTATCAACATTTAAACATTAAAAGATAAAATAACAATTGTGTGTCGTAGTGGTAAGAGAACCAGAGGTTCAAATCCTAGTCGGGCCAGCATTTGCACAAAACACAAACTCTTGGTTTTCGGGTGTGGTCGTTTTGTGATTGCCCCCGCATCTCTTATACTGCATCGCTACCAATTTCCAACGTTATCGTGTGTTACACCGAACAAAGATAGGTTACGATAATGACTATCCCTATCAAATTTCTATGTTGTTTTTCGATTATTCGGAAGTCATCGTCATGTTCGTAAGCCAGGAGAGAATTTAAATCATCATTATAATCCAGGGTCTGATCACTTTTATAAGTTTTAATAGAAAATCCCAAGACAATCCTGTAATCAACACTACAGCTGATAGAGTTCGTGCACGAATATCGAAAACATACCGCAGAAGTTAGACCAAACCGAGCACAAACGGCGGATTAGCGATCACAAAATCAATGACTATAGACATGATATTTACGAAAAATACTGAATAATAGAAACGTCCAAGCCAAACAAATTGTTAAAAAAGGTAACATTATATAGCGTTTGGAACGGTAATCACAGATCCAATCCAAGCATGATATTTACGAAAAATACTGAATAATAGAAACGTCCAAGCCAAACAAATTGTTAAAAAAAGTAACATTACATGGCGTTTGGAACGGTAATCACAGATCTAATCCAAGCATGATATTTACGAAAAATACTCTGAATAATAGAAACGTCCAAGCCAAACAAATTGTTAAAAAAAGTAACATTACATGGCGTTTGGAACGGTAATCACAGATCCAATCCTAGCATGATAATAACGAAAAATACTATGAATAATAGAAACGTCCAAGCCAAACAAATTGTAAAAAAAAGTAACATTATATAGCGTTTGGAACTGTAATCACAGATCTAATCCAAGCATGATATTTACGAAAAATACTGAATAATAGAAACGTCCAAGCCAAACAAATTGTTAAAAAAAAGTAACATTACATGGCGTTTGGAACGGTAATCACAGATCCAATCGAAGCATGATATTAACGAAAAATACTCTGAAAAATAGAAACGTCCAAGCCAAACAAATTGTTAAAAAAAGTAACATTACATGGCGTTTGGAACGGTAATCACAGATCCAATCCTAGCATGATATTTACGAAAAATAGTCTGAATAATAGAAACGTCCAAGCCAAACAAATTGTTAAAAAAAAGTAACATTACATGGCGTTTGGAACGGTAACCACAGACCCAATCCAAGCATGATATTTACGAAAAATAGTCTGAATAATAGAAACGTCCAAGCCGAACAAATTGTAAAAAAAAGTAACATTACATGGCGTTTGGAACGGTAATCACAGATCCAATCCAAGCATGATATTTACGAAAAATAGTCTGAATAATAGAAACGTCCATGCCAAACAAATTGCCAAAGAAAAATCTTAGTGCAAGTTTAAGAATGGCAAATGAGCTTTGTGATTTCTTTTTGAAAGTTGATCGGTCTATGGAACGAAATCTTATTTTTAAAAAGCAAATTGCTAATGCCACTGCTTATCAGTCTAAATTGAAGGAGCTTTTAAAAACTGTTAAGCAAGAAAACATTTTTTTAAACCATTGCCTAAACCTGAAGATAATAAATAATCAATATGGTCAATAACTTCAATTAAATTCAATTCTGTATTCGCGGCATATTTACGGAACATATACAATAGGGTCCTGATAATCCGAACACACATTATTTACACCCTGTTCGGATTAATGAGGCGTTCGGATTTTAGTATGTAGATATTTTTATAAACTAGCCCTTGAAATACTAGTAGTAAAAAATTATAATATCCTAGTTAGATTATTATTATTATTTTGTTTTTTCAAATGAAACTGATTTTATTATTGAAAGTGAATATGTACAAATTTTACTCAATATCTATTAATTGTAAAAAAAATCTAATATAGTTACTTCGACGAGTGATGTTTAATGACAAAGAAAATGTTTTATCCCTCAATTTACGCAGTAACATTTTTTTTTAATTGAAATATCTACCTGAGCATGGGGGATCGTTCGGATTATAGAGGCGTTCGAATTATCGGGGGTTCGGATTATCGCGGCTCTACTGTACCCTGCGAATAAAGAGCTTTTACTGTACCTAAGTTTTAATTTTACCGCGATTGTTTCCAGAAAACAAATAAAGGACTAATGATATAAGCTAGTCGTCAAAAAAGGAGTTTTTTACTCTTAAATGTTAAAAAAGGTCATTAGACAATTACCTTACCTGAAAATAATAGATAACAATTAGACATCAAATTGTATGTATATAAACAGCGAAGCCGCATAACAAATTGTTGTTCTTGGGATGGTTGTTTGTCATAATAAATTTGTATTATGTTTACAGTTGTGGATGCATTATGAATTATGATTACTCTTATTCTCTTTAGATATTAAATTTAGGACGACGTCGGCGAAATCAAAATTAGTAAAAATAACCTCCTCAAAAATATTAAAACCAAAATAAAACATAATTTTCAAAGTAAAACCAAACTACTAGCCAAAGTTGTGTAGAAATAGAAATTTAATAAATGGCTTTCAAAACAAACATAATAATTATTAGTGCTAAATTATTCTAAATCGCTGCTCGCTTGTTTCTCTTTAATTGAGTCAACCAAGGAAATTTCACTCGACAACTTTTAATGTGATAAACAAAACAGATAACTAAATATTGTTCCTCCCTTGTAAATTACTTATAGAATTAAGTTCAGCCCCGTATGTAAACATTGACGACGCTTGTTCAGTAACCTTAATTGTGTTTGTAAAATAACCTTATTGTTGTTTGTAAAATTCAATGTCAATTTAAATTATTGTTTATGCTCATTAGTTTGTGGACCTATTGATTTCTTTATAAACAAGGAACTTCGGGATATAAATGGTTCAAAACAGTTATTTTTATAAACGTTTTAAAAAGGTGTTGTGATTAAGATAATGTTATTTTGAAAAAAATAATTAAATTAATTTCTTTGTTGATCCTAAAGTTATTTTGTACTTTATTTATTTATATAAAAAATTTTCCTTCACAAGGAATGTTTCCTGTATCGTGGAGACAGTTTACAAACATAAATTGCACAAGGACAAACATCTAAACCCAGAACAATTATTTGTACACAATACAAATATGTGTTCCGTGCGGGATTCGAACCCGGAGCTCTCAAATTCGCATCTCAATTCTTAGCCACTGCGCCACGGAGCCGTGGAACGTTAAATCTACTGCAGAAGAGCAGAGTTCGCTATTTGTGACCTAACATTTTTGCTTCTGTTCCTAAAATTAAAATCGAAACTCAAGGACACAACTGTAAGACTTCCAGATACAGTGAGTTTATTCTTTGTATATCGAATCAAAATTAATAGTTAAAAGTTGAAGAAGCCAGAGTTGAATATGCCATTAGCAAGTAGAACTTTTTTCAATCCCCTGTGACCAATGAACCACGGTATTGAAAGAAAGAAAGAAAGAAAAAGTTTATTTGGTACATACATTAAAACAAAAAGAATAAAAATAAAACATTTTTTATATCTTATCAAAAATATTTAAAAAAGGAATAACACAATATGCACCAAAATGGACTCCACTCAGCTTTAAGTCACGAATAGAAGATATAAATACATCAATTCGTAACGCTGATTTTCAGTGGAGCCAGGAGTGTGAGGCAGATGACAAGTAACAGCAAGAGAAAAAATGAACTAAACATAAATATAAAATAAAATGAGAAAAGAAAAATTCACATCGTCAAAATTCCACGTGTCAGTGCAACATTGATAGTGTAGAGATGAACAATCGGTGGTATGCATGCAGAAAAAAAAATGTGTATGTGTATGTGTGCATGCGTGTTTGAGTGTGTGAGTGCGTTTGTATGTGCATGTACGGTACTAGCATTGAGATTGAATCATATCATTTATGCCTATTTGCTGGATTTTTTATACGGAAATCAGAAACTTTTTTAATAAAGTTTTAAAAGTGGCAACTGTTTTACTATTTCTGATCGGTAGTGGTATATAATTCCAGCACTTCGTGGCAGCAAAACGGAAACTACCACAGAAGGCAGCTGTGTGATGCTTAGGGTATGTGAGTCGTGATGCTGTCGTGTTGGTATAAGTATGATGGTTCCCTGGTATTTATAACTCCAAAAAGCAATGACGCAAGGTGGAGGGTACGCCGAGTAGCCATACTCATCAGCTCGTGTCGATTTAAAAATGGGGTGATGTGTGATCATGTGTATTACAAACCACGTATCTCCGGAATTATAGATAATTTAAATTAATTAAACGTGAATCTAATAAAATCCGTTAAAATTACTTCTGTTCAATGTGTAGTTATTTGCTTTTCCAACTTCATATTATTTTATAACCTTATTCTCAAAAGAAACAAAAGTCTCAATGCGAATCTTAATAAGAAGAAACAGTAATTAATAAGGAATAAAAGCAAAGCAATCAGCGCCATTTTCTCCCACACAATGTACACAAATTGTTTGTATAAGGAAGGTTAGTGTCAACGGAAACACATGGACACAGATACTTCCGGCTAAAGTAACTGACACCATTTCACTGTAAAGAACATCAAGTTGAACATACAAGGAACCTATTTAAATAACACGTAAGAAAAAGTTTATCCTGTACGAATATGGTTGAGCAGTTGCAGATTTTTTAATTAAAATAATGTGAAATAGCAGTTCGATGCTAATGTTTCGTATGTTGATTGTAGACAGAAAGCTGGGAATCATTCCTTCACCATCGGATGGACTATGAGCTCGCTTGTCACCATTGTTCTATAAAATAAAAAATATGTATTACTCTAAATCTCGATACAAAGTTTTAGTATTTTTTTACAGTTACCGTTGCCGTTGTACTGCCGTTGTTCAGAAGTTGCCATTGTACTAGAAATCGATAAGACGAACATTGTATGCGTAAATTCTTTCGTTTAAAATATGAACGTGACTATATTTTTTAATTAAAAAAACAACGACTTGATCTACATTTATTTGAAATTTTTACTGCAAGATGCAGTGTCAGTTATTATTTATAGTGAAAGTAAGCACTGCTACTAATCAGCAACCACAAAGATGATATTCTTAGATGGTCAAATTTTTATTTAAAATTGTCAAATATTATTTTTATAATATAAAAAGGATATCACATTTATATTAAATGTAATTTTGGACGCATAGGGCATATGGCCTTCACTAGAAAAAAGCACCCCGACTTGCATAAGGTGGCGAACAGCATTGAAGCAGAAAGTGATGAAAATTCACCGTAATATTTGAGGGTAAAGGTGATAACCTCTACGGTATGAGTAAAATCCTTACCTGTATCAGATCCTGGTATCCGTTTACACTCATACTGTCTACTACAGAAATCTCAATTTGGGTATGTTGTGCGGGCGTAGGCGTGGCGGTTGCTGGCGAATGAGGAGGTGTCGACGTTTGCGTGCGGAGCACCGGTAGACGCTCCAGACGCGCTGTCACTCGCTCCAGACGCTCGATCAAAGCTTCGAACTCCGCGGCCGGGTTATTAGATGCCGCTAACTGCTCGTTTTCACTGCCTATAGAAAAAAAAGTTAATAAAATGTATTATAACATTCTGATTTTATCGTTTTCCATATCGACGATGATGTAAACAACTAAATATACCTAATCGTAAGTTATCATTTAAAAATAAAGGCATCCAAGATTAAATGATATTGTGTAACAAAAAATTTCACCTCAGTGTCAACTAGCGACATCTGGTGAACGGAACATTATTAGCCTCACTGCGAATGACACAATACTGTAGGGCCACAAATGTACTAACAACCCATAGCCAGCTCTTTCTGACTCTCCATAAATTTCTTTAACCAAGCCTATTTTCTTGTTACGTTCTTCCATAATGAAACCGACATCTGTACATATTGTCTTTAGCTTCTACTCTCTGCAGCGCAGACAGGCTCTTTGATATCTTGCGGAGCGCTTTGAACGCAAATTCCCGCAGTAATCTGAAGTTCGCCTCTGAGGTGGAATGAAATATGATCACTTGTAAAAAACAAGTCTTGCCTTCTTGATCACTAAATTAACGAGCACCTTAGTTATGTCATCAAGACAGCGACAATCATTCAGATCAAAAGTTTTTGATTTAGCACTTATGTTAGCTCATAGTTATCTAAATCAGAGCCATAATTTTATACACGAACACAAAAAATTACATATCCTTATTCAACCCGTATGAGCCCAATGCCAGGTCGAATACTTTTCATGTAACTTTTGAGATTTTGGTCGTATTAAATTTACGGTACTACATAATATGTCCCACTGCACGGACACTCATATTTCTTTTATGAGGGTTTTGAAGCAGGAAAGAATTCACCGCACTGTCCCAAAGCATGTTGAACTTCACAAAAGCTCGCTATATATTTAACTTCTCTAGACATGCAGGTTTCCTCACGATTTTTAAGAAACTTAAACAGTTTGGTGAACCCACGATTTGCAGAACTTTGATGCAACGCTCTGGATTATTTACACCGATAAAAAAAAATTACATATCCTTATTCAACCCGTATGAGCCCAATGCCAGGTCGAATACTTTTCATGTAACTTTTGAGATTTTGGTCGTATTAAATTTACGGTACTACATAATATGTCCCACTGCACGGACACTCATATTTCTTTTCTGAGGGTTTTGAAGCAGGAAAGAATTCACCGCACTGTCCCAAAGCATGTTGAACTTCACAAAACCTCACTATATATTTAACTTCTCTAGACATGCAGGTTTCCTCACGATTTTTAAGAAACTTAAACAGTTTGGTGAACCCACGATTTGCAGAACTTTGATGCAACGCTCTGGATTATTTACACCGATAAAAAAAAATTACATATCCTTATTCAACCCGTATGAGCCCAATGCCAGGTCGAATACTTTTCATGTAACTTTTGAGATTTTGGTCGTATTAAATTTACGGTACTACATAATATGTCCCACTGCACGGACACTCATATTTCTTTTATGAGGGTTTTGAAGCAGGAAAGAATTCACCGCACTGTCCCAAAGCATGTTGAACTTCACAAAAGCTCGCTATATATTTAACTTCTCTAGACATGCAGGTTTCCTCACGATTTTTAAGAAACTTAAACAGTTTGGTGAACCCACGATTTGCAGAACTTTGATGCAACGCTCTGGATTATTTACACCGATAACAAGCAAACTATTAATGTTTTAACTTAAAATTGTAAAACGCAATAAGAAATTATCACATTCCAAGCATATGTGTAACATACGTAGTGCCGTAAGTTAACAGTATTTTAACATTTAGTTTTAAAAACCCTTATCTTCGTAAATAATATGTAATTCTTATAATTAATATTAAAGTATTATGCAAAGAAACAGAACCGCCGCTCGGCGCTTGATTAAACACATTTACAATCACTAACACAATATAATAATAGGAGGATTTGAAAACTGAAAGAGCCCCATATCTCACCGTCGTTTTGTGCAAATTCTGCATCCGTTGATTCATTCGTACACGCGCCCTCGATATTGGCTCGCGCTTCAAATATTTTTATCAAATGCCGCATGTTTTTAATATTTTCACTTTCAGACATATTTTTGCAAATATAAAAAATAAAATTCAAAACGCGCAAACACTATGAGATAGAACCAAACTAACAAATGGAATAAATAAAATTGACTTTGGTGGTGCTGATTGGACGTGCTATATCAGCTGATTGTCATAACAGATATGAACACGATAAAGACAGACTAACATGACAACTACACTGATAAAACTTATGTTTACTACTCAATAATAAGAATGAGGATACAAAAAAGTATACACTTTCTAGGAAAGCAGTATCGTAGAACCTGATTACACCTATTTCATTTCGTAAATCTTTATATATAAAAATTACGTGTCACGTTGTTTGTCCGCGATAAACTCTCAAACTACTGAATGCAATTAAATTTTGCACACGGTGAGCAGTCTGGTCCAACTTGAGAGATAGGATAGTTTTTATGCCAATAAGTGACCCTCGATGTACGACTATATTATTAGGAACCTAATGATTTTTTATATGACAGAGATTCGTCGGATACGGCAGAACAACGTTTGCCTGGCAAGCTAGTATAAATGAGTTTTTAATTGTTAGTACTAAATTAGAAGAATTATACTAACAACAAAAAGTACTAATATGTGATTGGAAGTCGTGAACCTTGTGATCATTTGCTGCTTTATATAAATTAACTATGGATTTACTTCTACACTCCATATAATATGCATTATTTAAATAACATTTTTCTCGAAACAATAATAAAGGTCGTCAACCCGATACAAGTACAAATAAAAGTAGTGGTAATTCAATTGTAAACGTTTTATTAATATTCTCGTTGACATTTGCCTAGAAACCTAAATATACCATACCATTAAAATTTCTACGTTGACCTGTACTAATTTGGAAATTGCTGATGCCGAAACCTTAAATTTATACAAACTACGAAGTATTAGCCGGCACTGCTTGGGGTTTTTCAATTCTATCAAATTGTATGATGACGTTATTATTAGATAATATTCCACTTTTAGCTTTGAGTATGCCCATTTTATTAAAAGATTTTAACCTATTCCAAGAAATATGCTTCTTATTTCAAGCATAGACAATAAATACACTTTACTAGCACTACCGAACAAAATTAACTATTAATATCACGTTAAAATGTGCCATTTATCTTATGAAATTACGGTTAATTTCAGCTTGAAAGAATAATTTTAAAATTTTGATATCACAATTTAGTTTCGCTAAAACCAACGCGTGTAGCGAACTGAAAAGTTACGAGGTAGGTACTTGTTTTACCAGCAATGGCGTCACGTTACCGCGCCTCGGTTATAGCTTACAGTGGAATTATCAAGAGACGAGTCAACGACTCATTACGGATAAATTAAAATGTAGGCAATGAACATTTTAATTTATCCGTAATAAGCCGTTTACAATATGTAATAAAAAGTTAACTTGCCCTGGCTTCCTAAAACGTAGTAAATTTTATGTGGACCATCGTAAAAGTCCACCGCTGGATACAGGAAAGATTTCGCATAAATTAGGAGTATTTTCAAAAATCTCAATCCACCAAAACCTTTATATCGCCACGCAAATCGCAACGCTTCTGCAACTAAAGCTTCGACAATTGGCTCTTACTGGCAGACTAATCTCTGGCAAAAACTTTCCGCAGTTCCCTCTCCTTCTTCAATACGAGCTGCATTGAAGTTGCGTAAGTCCCGCTGCATGCATTTGGATATCTATTTGTTCAGTTGCCTGTATGCTATCAAATCTGCTGAAGACTGGAGCTTCATTTCTCGTCTGTCATTAGTTTAAGAGTGTGATCGGAGAGTGTTTGTGTTATTCTGTGACGGCTATTGCACAACTTCACTCGCATTCGTATCGTTCACTGCATTGCAGTCTTCTAGTCACTGAAAACGATTTTGTAACTCAAGCTGAAAGTTTTCGGGTCTTCAAATTAGAGCACAAGGGAGACGAAGCGTTGACTTCATTAGACGTGACCACTTCAGCTTAACGTTTGGGTTCAAGGTGCCTCTCACTATACGGTGGTCGGGGTGGTGGTGGTTGCCAGTTGTCGCCCTCAGTTATCGCGATCACTGAACAGTTGCCGTCTCGACCAGATCCACTTCCTGCGGGGCGGCTTCTGAAAGAAAGAGTTCATCATAAAGAGTCCCTCTTTCTCCATGAAGTCGTCCAGCTGTTGGCCCCTTAGATTCCGTTGCCTTATTGGGGATAAAATTTAATTTAACACCGTATAGTGGATTTTGGAGGAATGGGTCTAGAGATATCCTCATACATTTTCTCCACATCCTCATCGGGAAGTGCGTAAACCTCCATAGACTTCAGCAAGTGCAATCGCAAGCATTAACAATATATGTTGTATGACCTATTATAAACACCAAATTTCAAAACATTACAAGTTGATGTTTTCGATGGAAATGCACGATAATACATACAAAAATAATTGAGAATATTTTGTTAAAACACCTGTTATAAATCATATAATTTATGTTCGCTTAGTACAAGCGAAGGGAAAATAGGAGTCTGCTATTTTCATGTATTCCCACGACCAAGGCCGGCTTAAAATGATAAACGTAGTTTATGTAACTAATTATGTTTACGTTCTCTCAGTTTCATGCTTTCATGCATGAGCAGATGCCAAAGGCAATAAGTAGTGTTAGATATTTCCATCTTATTAGGCAGCTTGTTGTAGAGATGCGAGCCTTAAAATTAATATATATGTGTTGCAGATTCGGCAAGGGACGCTGTATATGGAAGTTTATCGATTAAATTGGCGATTTATTGCAAATGAGCCAAATTAAGAGTACCATAGATTACCAGAGAGTACCAGAATAACAGACGAGCATGTATGCGTAGATCGCCTGGTTCAGGCGTCTATATAGAGACGTGTGTCAGTAGCGCACCAAATGGAAGTTACTGCCTATTCCTCTGTTACATGCATGAGTACTTGATAACGCAATTTCTTTAAAAATTAAAAGATAACTAAAGCCATTTATTAGGGAAATACTTTATTATTTAACAATTTCTCTGTCAGACTAGAAATTCTGTGTTGAATACATGCATTTTCAAGTATGCGTCAACCTCAGAATGATGCATGCAATGAGGCATGAACTAAGATAAAATTATTTAGCAATATTTGAAGTCATTCATATTTCCTAGTCTGTGGGATTTGAATTCGGCATTTTAAATGTGATTTCGCTATAAAGTTGTAAAATTAGTGTTTATTTACTAGTCTTTATTCTGATTAAAACTTTGGACAATACATACATATAAATTTATAGTTGCTTATGAAAAAGAGGTGAGCAAATCAAACATCAAATGTCGTTTTTAAATCTTATACTTTTTGTATAATTATAAGACCATAATCATACAACCAGATGTTGACTAAGGGATGATTCATTGCATAATTTATGTATAAACGCATATTTATACGTAATAGATATAGTTATTTAAGACATCAATCTGCATTTGTACATACTCGTACATAGATAACTAGTGCATATAGTAACGGTACGAACGGTTCAATGTGAGATGAAAGAGGCCGAACGAGAAACCACGAACCGTGCAAGAGCTAAGCTTACTGTAAATCAGCCCGTTGTGGTTAATTGGTGTAGATTGCAACTTGCAACTCGACTGCAACAGACTTTTCTGAAAGCCATAATTAAATTTCATCTACTTTATACATAACATACTTCAAAAAAGGAGGTTATAAGTCGGTTCATGTTTTTAAAGAATAGTTAGAAAGGTTAGACTAAATCTACCTACCTAACCCTATTTAACTAATTTTTTAAATTATTTATACATTACATTTTTACAATATTAGTCATAATATTATGATGACATTTTTTAAAGTTTGATACTTCAATAAGAGTTTATCATGTATAGTTGGGTATTTTAAGTACATTAATAATTATTATACAATAATCATTACTTTTAAACCCACTACACGGTGTTGATGGGAGACTTCAACGCAAAACTAGGCACAAGAGAAAACGGTGAGCTGAAGTTAGGGAAATTTGGAGTAGGGCAACGGAACCGAAGGGGCCAGTAGCTGGCCGACTTTATGGAGAAAGAGGGATTCTTTATGATGAACTCTTTCTTCCAGAAGCGGCCCCACAGGAAGTGGACCTGGTCGAGCCCCGACGGTTCGACAAAAAATGAGATTGACTTCATTATGACGACCAGACGCCAACTGTTCAGTGATGTCTCAATGATCGCAAGGGTGAAAACTGGCAGCGATCACCGAATGGTTAGAGGCACACTGAACCTAAACGTTAAGTTGGAGAGGTCTCGTCTAATGAAGTCAACGCTCCGTCCCCCCTCGTGCTCTAATCAAAAATCCCGAAAACTTTCAGCTCGAGTTACACAACCGCTTTAAGTGCCTACAAGATTGCAATGCAGTGGACGATATGAATGACAAGCTCGTGGAAACTGTCCATGCAGTCGGAGCTAAGTTCTGCAAGACCCGCCGCAGAAGAACACAAAAACTCTCCGATCACACTCTTAATCTCATGGCTGTTAGACGGGAGATGAGGCTGCAATCGTCAACAGATTTGACAGCATACAGGCAACTGAACAGACAGATCTCCAAATGCATGCGGCGAGACTTACGCAACTTTAATACTGCTCGTATTAAAGAAGCGATCGAGCGGAACCAGGGCTCCAAAGTCTTTGCCAGAGATCTGTCTGCCCGTAAGGAGCCAACTGTCAAGGCTGAAGACTGAGTGTGGCAGCATCGTTTCCGGGACACCTGAGATTTTGAGTGAGATTGAGAGGTTCTATGGGCAGCTGTACACATCATCGTTGGAGCCACACGCAAGTGTGAGTAACGATCCAAGAGCAAGTCTTATCCGACACTATTCCGATGATATCCCGGACGTCAGTCTAAGCGAGATTAAAATGGCTCTCCAGCACCTTAAAAACGGCAGGGCCCCAGGCGAGGATGGAATTACAGCGGAGCTTCTGAAAGCAGGTGGAACACCGGTACTTGAAGTCCTTCAGAAGCTCTTCAATTCCGTCCTCCATGGTGGCACTAC